AAAAAATAAGCCTTACCAGCACAAAGTTGGTAAGGCTTATTTTTTTTGGTGAGATTAGAGTGTGACTTATCGCGTTGCCTCGTAAGCTAAAATACCCATGCCAACGATAGCCAATATTCCTACCGTCAACGATAATTTTTCGTCTTGGTGAGTTTGTAGTTTCGTGGGCTCCTGGGTTAAAACTGTAGGTGTTGGTGTTGGTGCTGGTGTTAGTGTTGGTGATACAACATCGGTCATAGGCTCTAGGGGTGTTGGTGGCGCGACGTCATCGGTGTCATCAAAAGAGTCGTCCGGTTGAGGTTGTGAGTTTAAATCTGGTACCAAACCAGTGTTCATACTCTGGGTAGCGATTTGAAGATTGTTGTTATAGCCGTCGTGCGTTCCAACCCTCAAGTTCATATCCGATGGAATTAAATATAACCCCGGTTTCACGACAAAATTTAAAGGCGTTCTGGCATACTGCAAAGAGTCTTGAAATTGATCGATACTCGTTTCCATGTCGTCTACTGCATTGATGATATCTTCAACGATGACGTTAAATTGTCTCTGAGCGTCTAATCCGGTGCCCGGTGATAATACGCTCGTTTTTGTTTGAGCCTGCGCACCGAGTAAAGCGTACACGTAAGATCTGATCGATTCGTTGATCTTTATGATTCCCGCGGAGGTAAACGAACTCTTGGCGGGTATAAAATCTAACCAAGCCATTTTGACGATGTCGTCTTGTTCGAGATAACCCTTCCAATGCTTAAAAAAAGCATCGTGTTTTTTTGGATCGTCTAAACCCCAATTTTTATCACCCGTGGGGTTGATAAAATCGTCGAGTGTGGTCGTGTTTTTATCATAGTCTAACGGCAAGAGTAAAAATGATTTTGTTTTTTCGTTCCAAAGAAAAAGCCGACCTAAGCCATAAGTCTTTTGATCTCTCGTCTGTTTAAAAGACTTATTTTGATCGATGGCAAACGTCCGACAGATGTTGGTAAATGCTCCACGATCATAGGTGTTGCTGAGAGCGTCAAACGAGTCTTCTCCCGGTATTGCTACGGCCATGTCGTTTAATATCCTTCTCACCGTAAAGTATAGATGAAAATTAAATAAGGCTTCAACGTAACGGTTGTTCGAGTTTAAAATATCGATTCCAACACCACAGCCCGTTGTAGCGCAATAGATCGCAAAGTTTAACTGATTTTGATAAAAAGACATGGGGTCTATTTTCCAACGAAGTACAGCATCGTTGGTATTGAGGCGAGATATTTTATAGTCCGAGATTAAGTCGGGAAACGGGGTTAAAAACGTGTTAGACGCGTTGACCGTAATCTCGAGTTCGCCAGTGAGATACGGACTGTCTAGTACATGCGCTGGGGTGGTAGCTTGTCGTTTAGCTACATTTTGATTTACTTGTCTCGTTACCTGATCGGCTATCGATTGTATCTGCTTTTTTAACGACTTAAAATCACTCATTATTTTAGTTTCAGTTTTAATATAAAAAGACTTTAAAATAAATGCATTCGTTTCACTTGTTTCAAAATGAGCAGACGTTTAAATTAGAAGACGTCGTAGATAATTTAAACGGTCAAAAATCTATACGCGTAAAAAGGGTGTTGTTTAACGCCGGATATTTTAATATTTCCAGCGCCACGGAGATTGATTGGTTTACGCAAATAGATGGGAGACCCGCATTTACCACAGATAAACCTCCCCCCATACCCGCGGAGTTTCTTTCAGATGTACACATAAGAACGCCGGATAGAGATTTTATAGAGCGATTGTTACCCGATATACCATACCACTTTTTAATTAACGATGAAAATGTTTTACAAAAAACTATAAACGATCTTATAAAAGCGTACGAAGACGATAGACTAGAATCCGTTTTAGAATCAAACAAAAGAAAAAGAGCTATTATAGCTGAACGGCGAGGGTTGATTTTAGCCGCCATGTCTTCAGAAATACCAAAAACTGAATTAGAACTTAATACGCTTCAATCTTTAGTAAGATTATTATATGTTAGAGAAAGAAAAATCTTTGAAGGTGAGGAATTGGCTTCAAAGTTTATTGAAGGAGAAATGGGTGCGAGCGAATTGAGCGAGTTGAGAGATAGTAGGGAAGCAGGGGTAATTATAAGGGGAAGTCTTATCGTGACGGGTGAGGATTTAGATTTTATTCCTCCGAGTCATTTAGAGCCGTTGCCACTCGGAGTCACCGGTTCGGTCATCATAGCACCGGGGTGGTACGACGTCGATTGGTTCGATTTCATTTTAAATTCTATACCCGGGGTAAGTTTTCGAATATTTAGAGAATCTAAAAAGGTGACGTTGGTGATAACCGACGTCAATCTCAAATTGCGCTTGAACAGAGAAGTATCTCGATTACTCAATTTACCCAAAGGAAGACTGGTACCCAAAGTGGTGTATACGGGGTCTTACGACGTTAATCCGTTTAAATTTTTGTTTATTCACTGCCCGCAATTAAGTACGAGTGAAAACTTTTTTAATGGTCGTCCTTCTGACATCTTAAAAATCGTACCCGTGGCTACGCGCAAACCCGATATTGATAGAGCCGAGGGATTCAAAAATCTTAAAAACGGTATAATCGACAAACTGACATTTTCTATCAGCGGTGAAAAAGGACAGGTATTCAACAATAAGGGTGAGGGTATCATTATCGAGTTGGAGATCTTTTAATTTTAAAATCTTTTTATATTAAAAACATGAGTGTAGATGGTAAGGCGTTATACCCCGATATTTCTGGAGATGTACTCCGATTAAATAGTAACGAAGAAACAAAAGTGTACAGACTTAAAAAGATTGAAGAGATTCGATCTTTAATCTTGAAAGAGAGAGACCACCGAGAGCGCACTTATAAAAAAATAAAGAGAGTGATCGACACTATTAATTACGTAGAGATAGGATTAGAAGGATTGGGGGTTGTAGCGGGGGCTGTCAGTATTCCCGCTCTCTTGGGTGTTATATCAGCCCCCGTTGGATTGGTGCTAGAAGGAACGTTTATAGGCGCTTTTGGTGTAGATATTCTGCTTAGAATCGCGTCTAGGCGATTATCCGCCAAGCTAAAAAAGCACGACCAGATTAAGATATTAGCAGACTCCAAACTTAACACGATTGAAGAATACGTGTCTCAAGCCATCAACGACGGAGATATATCGCACGAAGAGTTCTTATTGATTACGAGAGAGCTCGCCAAATTTAACGAGCTTAAGCAGAAAATTAGAACAAAGACCAGCACAAAGCTTCAAAAGATTAAAAACGATACAGACTTTGAAAAAGAAGTTAAAAAACGGGTAGACGAACGGCTGGCAAAAGAAAAAAAATTTCTTATCGAAAAACTTACAAGTTCAAATTCTCGGTAAATAAACATTATGAAAGCGAACCACCGAGTTATACCTCTATTTCACCTCTTAGGACTACGCCCTCGGCCCCGCCTTTATTGTAGTGGTCATCGTATATTTTTAGTGCTTTATTAAATTGATTTTGAGTCACTTTAAATAAATCTCTAACTCGTTCTTTGTCTAATCCAACGACGTGATGATAACACGCCGCTATTAATGACCGTTTGACGCAACCATTCCCCCTCAATGTTTTGTAATTAACGAGCTCGTTATATTTATTGATTGTTTCTTGGACATCTTCTGAGTCTTGCTCTGGACAAACAGACAAAATAAGTTTCTCCACAGTTTTTCTTTTGTTTCTCTTTAAAGTTGACCAATTGATACGATCTTCTTGCACATTTTCTGCCGAAAAATCAAAATAACGTGAAACTATTTCACCGCACGTTTCACAAATTAAAAAACCATTCTCGATGATTATATGATGATCGCACTTATCCCCAAGTTGTGACGTCCCAAAGTATTCCATCTATTTAATAAAAACCGATATTATTTTTTATTCATTTTTCAAATACTCGTCGGTCTAAACATATTACTCTCCATTTTTATATTAAAAAACAGCTCCTCACCTTTTACAGGGTAAGGAGCTAATTTTTTTTGTCTCGAGTTTCAAGGTCACGTTGTGGTGACTCACACACGTTTCAAGGTCACGTTGTGGTGACTCACATATTTTTCAAGGTCGCGTTGTTTACGCCAAATTTCTATCGTGCCTCAACACGTTTCAAGGTCACGTGGTGGTGACTCACATATTTTTCAAGGTCACGTGGTGGTGACATCACCTCATTTTAGCGATGACAGATTTTTTTTTTTTTTCTCTCTCTCTCTCGGCGTCAGATTTTTTTTTTTTTTTTTTTTTTTTTTTTTTTTTCTCCCAGCGTCAGATATTTTTTTTTTTTTCTCTCTCTCTCTCTCTCTCTCCGACGTCAGATTTTTTTTTTTTTTTTTTTTTTTTTTTTTTTGCTCTCTCTCTCTCTCTCCCGGCGTCAGATTTTTTTTTTTTTTTTTTTTTCTCTCACACCCGGCGTCAGTTTTTTTTTTTTTTTTTTTTTTTTTTTTCTCCCCCACACCCGGCGTCAGATTATTTTTTTATTTTTTTTTTGAGATCGGGGGATTCCCCTATATTTTTCCCCAACTATTTTTAGAATCGAGAGCGGCGTGCTCAGGCTTGCCGCAGATTTTTTCCATTTTGCTCCGGTTCCCCCACCTCCCCTACTACTCCATTTTGTTCCCTTTTAGAATCCTGCTCTCTCCTGGCTGCCAAAAAGCAATTTCAACAGCTGGTAAAAACACAACCTAAGAATGCAATCAAGTGAAAAATGAAGTACAGAAACAGCTGTTATACTGTTTTCATTCTTTACAGTTTCACAGCCGTGCAAGTTTTCACTTTTTTGGAACTTAACTTTTCAAATACACCATGTGATGTGACTATCTCTAGAAATGGTTCTCAGAAGGACCACAAGTGTAATGTGGAAGTCCTGATCTTTTGATGATGGTTTGGGCATACTGATCAGAAACGTCACATTGAACATCTCTAATTCTTTCAAAAAGGAGGACTGTGCAGCTGTTTGTTGAGCAAACACAGAGTGGACCTTGTACTCACCCAACACCCGCCAGATCTGAGACAAGGTTGCCAAGGGCAGCAGCTGTAAACAAAAGAAAGCACGTAAATAATGCAAACATTTTCAATCATATAAAAATTAACACCATATTATTTACAGCCAATGAACTTGGTTGTTTTGTATTCAGTTCTCCGCTAAACACAGACACTGAAATGAAAATAGCCAGGTTTCCTATGAGAGAGTACACCATAGTGGGTTATCAAGGTATTGTCGTTGTGTCATATCATTCACCCATAATCCTTTGCATTTTGGTACAGAATTCTGTGAAAGGCTGATCAGTCTGTACCAGGTGCCTCGGTTAAAACGGTTTGGAAAGAGTAAGGAACGAGTACAAAGGATCTCATACCCACCTGCCATTGTGGAAATGCCCAGTGTGACACCTATTGTCAGGTCGATGTAATCACCCTTTGAAAAAGAAAAACAAAAAAGAAAACTAAAGTTTTCAATCAATAACAATTGGATATCAACAAATTGAAATACGTGTCAATCATTAGCAATATCTGGGAACTGGGACGTCTCTCTGTATTGCCATTTGCTTGTTTTGGGGTTTTAAAAAAATATTTCAGAGTGCAACTAAAGCAAAAAAAATAAAAGGCTCCAAAGCATACACCCCCAAGACAAATATCTCTTTTGAAAGAACACATGCAGTTTTTGAGGCATTAATACATGTACTGAGGAAATGAAGCAATACTTGAAAGTCTTCATTTGCTAATGGATTTAATTTATCTTTTACTCACTGCAACGATCATGATGGCGTTGTCCAGGAATCCAAAGCCAATGAATGGAATGCCATTACTAAGCAGCACTGCAAACAAACCAGAGCTTTAATAATGGCTATGGAAATCAATTGCTGTCTAATTACATTGTAGTTCCCAAGCATAATGCAAGTCTTTGAATGCTCAATGTACATCTATACGAATCTTCCAAAAATGCTCAAACAACATGGATTTGTGCATCCATACAAGAGCATGAAGCAATGAGGATATCAACACTTTATTATTTGTTTTTAACTTTTTAATAACTTTTACTTCTCTGTTCAAATTCACTGGATTTTACATATCGCAATTATTTTACAGATATTATTAAAGATACCAACAGAACAACAGAGGAAAACAACAACTAAACAACAACCCAAAAATAAACAGTTACTGAGCTTTTCTAAACTTACTATTAGGCCTACTATTCTTGTTCACAGCTGAGTTTTCTGTTATTTAAATAGTGAAATATCAAATTACATGCAGTCTCTGAAATGCATGATTTGCATAGCATGATGTTCGTTAATATTCATCTACTCACCCAATCTCAACTGTGCTTTGGATGGTGGCTCAGTTGCACATTTATCTAGAAAAATGTATTGGTACAAGCATAGAGGAATAAGAAAATGGTAATGACTGAGGAAATAAAGAGTTCAATGTTTACATCAAGTCAAGAAAAAGAGACTGCGTTTGATGCTACATTTTGTAGTTCATAATTTATTTCTCCTAAAAAGAAGAAATTTTATTTATAAAAAGGTGATGTATGTTTTAACGAAGAAGAACATCTTTTCAACATGTTGTTCAGTATTTTCTCATGAGGTGATACACATTAGCAGGAAGCCTAGTGAATGAATAATGTCTAACCTGTTCTATGAATATGATCCTGCAGTCCCTGTAGCTCGGCAAGAACGAGGGCCCGCTCATTTGGAAACAAAGACGCAGCAAAATGCTTGCACTTGGACTCCGTGTCCAACTTTCCCCGGAAAAGGCGTCCCCGATACGTATATTGATGCCTCGTCTGGATATTCCAACAGCCAAACACTCCTAAAATTGGCACATCACGTGAGTAATCACAGTTCTTGCGTGGGGCCACCCACGTGGTTGAATTTTTGACCGAAAACCTGAGATCTTTGTCCAAAATTTGCAGGAATCGCCGAAAACCGATCTTCCGCATGGACGCTGCCATCTTGGATAGTATCGATAGGGCGCCCTCTTTTCCTTGGTCAGTATCGATAGGGCGCCCTCTTTTGAGATGATTAATTGAGCACAGACATGACCCTGTTGTATTTATAAAATATATAAAGTATTTATTGCAAACGTTTAATATATCGCTGTAAATTGATTACACACCACTTCAGGCTGTCTATTTATCAACGTATCCCGAACTTCTCATTGGGGGGGGGGGGGGGGGGGGGGTTAAATTCAATTTAATATTTTTTTTAATTTAATATATTCTTTTAGGCTGGAAATAACATATTAAAACAGTTTTAATAGCAATTAAAACAGCTAAAACTGACGTAATCTTGTGTCTCTTTTTCTTTATTTGTTTCTTTATTGTTCTTCAATAATTTTGACATCCTATTTTTATAATTTAATAAGGCAAACATTGATATTACTGGAAAGTGTGATTATTACTCTTGGCATATATCCCCTACTCCTAACAACTGCCATAGAAAATAACTTCACACAAGTGAAAAGTAATGTATTGATTGAAAGTCGTTTGGTTTGATCTGTAAAAAGAGTAGATCAAATGTATTTGTTATTTACTTGTTTGTTTGTTTGTTGGGGTGTTTGTTTGTTTGTTTCTTATTGTTATTTACTGCCCCAGAGTAGTTCATCCTTATGTACAAGTGTTATCACTAAGAAAACGCGGTTAATTTTACCAAGATAATAACGAATAAAATATCAAAATGCACTGATTCCACGTCATCAATTCTCTTTCTTAATGACCTTTAAATTTGTACAGAGTATTAATTTAAAAAAAGGAATGGTATGTTTTCTTAAATGAAGCTATTACATATTAATGATCTGTAAGACAAGACGAAAGTTTCAAAGTAACAAATGATAAAATAAGTTTGGAAAAAAGTCTGTGCTTATGTAGTTCGTCACTTGTCTCCCTACTGCTTTATCAAACAATTACATACATAGGTTTGTACAAGTATCATAAATAATTGATAGATATTTACACACACTGAAGGGAGCACAGAAAAGTCTCTTTTTAAATTCCTGATTGACATTTATCTTACAAAGCAAAACTCTCAAACGCAATATCCTAACAAAAGACAATATTAATATTGGGAGGTTTGTTGTTAGAGTTCAAAGATTGTATTGATGAATAAAACTCTGTTCACTATAAAATGAAAACTCATAAAGTGAAAACAAAAATTTCTTTTATTTTAAATAAATTTTGACATAACCACCTCTCTTCACAAACATCGTGATTCTGGCTGGGTTCGAACCAAGTACCATCCTACCTGAGTCAAACACCGTAACCACTGAACCATGGCATTCAACTAAACAGAACAGTCTTTAAAATAATATGACTGGCCAGGCCACCGAATACCAGATTTGGCAAGCTTCGCCCAATAGCTACAACCGTCTACTAGACACATCAGACGGAATAAACGAACGGAAGTATGGGTCCAATTTCGCTGGGTTGTGAAACACTAACAAATTATAGAATTTCATTGCTGAGGCCATGCCCCCCCCCCCGAACAATTTTTTTTTAAGTGACGTCGCAATAAAGGCAGGCACTGCGTACACCACCATCTTTTCCTTTAAAAAAATGGTTAGTTAAAGAAATTGCCTCAGATCGCACCCGGAGCATCTCGAATCCAAATAATTTTGGGGCCCTTCAGCGGGCTCCATAATTTTATGGACACACTTTTTGGGGATCAATTCCCCCCCCCCCATATCGTGTTCTGGATCCGCCCTTGTTCAGGCTGTGTTGGAGCCATCGTGTTCGCCTGTGCCTTCCCCGTCGTCTTCACGTCTCGACGACAGTTTGCGACGGAATGTCCGACTGGAATACCTACTACGATACATGGTTTGCCGGACAATCTGAGCCATCGTGCTGCTGCCCCTGTTAAAACAAATAAAAGAACACAGGCTTGAATTTACATCTTAAAAATGTCTTAATTTGACTGTCGTGTGTCACAACTTCTTCACAATCTTATAAAAGTTAAAAAAGTCAATCACAAGTCTTCACGATCTAAAGTCAATCACAAGTACAAGTCTTCACCAATCATAAGTTAATCAAAAGTGATACAGTCTCAAGTCACAAAATATTCAAATGAAAAGTGACAGAATAATTCCTTTGCCAATGTTCACTGCCTTTTATTGGTAACGGGACTTGTCAATAGACTCGTGATGAAATAGTAAAGGAGTCGACTATTTCACTGTTTGATTCACTCGGAATGACCGACCTATTTGAACCCACCTGCGTCCGGATGGGTGTTCTCCTTCATCCATATCATCTGCCTCTGAGCGAATCTCCATCTTCTGAACGATGAGGCGAAGCAGGTTATACTGCTTATCGAGCTGACTTGTGATCTCCTTCATCCTATAAAAAAAAAATTAAAACATTTTATCAATTGAAGTGCGCGCTCGAAATGGTTTCAAAACGCCTGCGGAGTCGCCGCGAGTTTTGGGAATGTTAAACGGCTCTTTCGGGGTTAAAGGCAGGTGTTTCTGAGCGTCAGGGGGGAGGGGCATAGTACCAACTAGGGAGCCCACTACCATACAAATACAAAAATACACATGTATGGCTTTTGCCGTGGGGGGGGGGGGGGTGTCAATTGCTCGCCAAGGGAGGTCCGGCCCCACCAGCCCCCCCCCCCCCCTTTGGCGACGGGCCTGTATAGGCCTACCAGTGGGGGATCCAGGATTTTTTTATGAGGGAGGATGAGCTGTCAGTCTGAGATTTATGAAGAGAGGTTGAAGTCAACGCATTGAGCAATGTTACTTCACATGTTTTGTCTGTAAGATAATGTAAATAATTAAGACTTACCGGACGGAAAGGGGTGGTTACAGTTAATCCACGCCCTGAATCTAAGCTTGTTGACGTACCTTCGTTTCTGCTTCATGATTTCCCCATGGACCACGTTGATGTGCACGTCGGCAGCCGTCCTGAGTCGCTCTTTTGGCATGCCCTCCTCCATGCCAGCCGACTCCATGATCTTCAACCAAATCTGAGCCGGGAACAACAGAGATACATTTAAGCAATAAATGCATACACAAATTTAGAAAACCGGTAACCTACCCGTTAGAAATACTACAAAATAGTCTAGTTCACCACATGCTTATCAAGTGAAACTTGGATGTTATAGGATTCTATAGCTTGCATGATGACGTATGCCTACGTCAAAAATTAATTTCGTTTATTCCTCTCCATTTTCTACTTTTGTTTGAGGGTGAGTGGTTGCACCCCAAACCTCCTTATCTCTCTTACCCTTGTCAGAAATCTCTTCCTGCAGTGAGGTTTGACTATCAGATGATCCTTCTCTCCGTACTCCAAGATTCGCTTGGGTAGCTTGTGCTCGAGGTCCGTGTGTAACTCCACCTGCATGGCTAGGCGCTTCATGCGCGCATTGTACTGAACCTCGGCGATGTCACCTACGGCCAAACCGATCTGAAAAGGGATAAATGTGGAAAATAACCACACATTTGCAGAGTTTTCACCAAGTCATTCTCAAGACAATCACAAGGCAAGTCAAAGGGGAAGTGTAAGATTATTATAATTGCTCATGGATTAACAGTGACAACGGAAGGACTTTTCTAACAGTTCATCTGAACAGTTTGACTTGCGACTAAACTTGCGATTTGATTTGTGTCAACTTGTGATGCCTATCAGATTAAAACTATGAATAGTAAATTAATTTGATTACCTTCTGAATTGACCAGTGTATTATAACTCACTCGCAAAATGTACAGATTGCATGAAAGGCTGCAAGCATAATTTGCAAAGTATACCTCGCTACGTCAGATGCAACCCAAAAGCCTAAGAGTTCAAATCACAGCGTCTAATTTTGTCATGCTCCGTACTTTATCATCTCATTTTCCAGTTCACTCGTCGGACCCTGAACACAACCCGTCTACAAGACAGCTTTCTTGTCGATCAGTATTTCTTCAAATATATATTTTTTTACTCACCAACAAGTTCATCAGCAGAACAGGGAGCAGCAAGACGCATGTGAAGAGGAAGATGAAGGTAATTTCTGGATGAGGCATGGTGTTGGAATCACAGTCCGAGGCAGGCTCCACGAAGGAGTTGATGTAGTCTAACTCTCCCAGCATCAGAGCTGTGCATACACGGAACAATGACATAATGGGCGTGGCGTGGGCTTTGTTTGCCTGAAGAAGGAACATCAGAAAAAAATCTCATCACTCATGGAGGTATTGCTGCTACACAATTCAGAGGATCAATGATATTTGCTTAGGTCTTGTAAGTAGTGAGTTTTACAACCAACCGTTTCTTTTCAGAACCACACACCTCCCCAAAAGAGATCAAGTTCGACATGGTGTTACCGTAATCATAATTTCATACTCATGACAGAACATATCCCAGTCTAAGTGCAGAACCGTATCTCATAACCTAATTTCTCTTCTTTGAGAAAACTAAACATCCTGCAGAAACCATTTTTTAAACACAGGTATCTTCATTTCGTCTGAAATGGCGACTTTCAAAGAGGCAACCATGACTGGAACACAAAGTCACCGTATTGAACGAATTTTACAAACGCCGCCTACTTGCCACAACGCCCTAAATGAACTATTAAAGTTTCCTTAACAACACTGTGAGCACTAATGGATGCAAGAATCGATAAATTACGAATCGATTCTTACCTCTTGCGAAAGTAGCATGAAGAAGGTGAGGCCAAAGGCGATGAATAGGATGGAGAAGACGAAGAGAACCTGGACAAGGGTCCGTAGAATCTCCAGGAACATGACCACGTAAATACCGAATATGTCGAATCTGTAGAAGAAGTGATTATAGACGATAGAATCGATTCTTTTTTTTTTACGTTTTGCACTTCGGCTTGATCCTAATGTGCCAATCTGACATTCGAGTGATGTTTAGAGTATTGACATTGTTCACGTTTTTTTTGTAAAATGACATCAGATTAACGATGCAGGTATTCGTTTCTTCTGCATCCGATCTCTCCGACCCAGGTTGGAATCCCTCTGGGGTGAAAATGAAAATGGTGTTCGTACCTCTGCAAGTACAGCAGAAAGTTGAACCAGGCCAGAAAGGCAGCAACTGCACCGAAAGGCGTCTGCCAGGACAATTCGTACAAGTAGATGTCCACAAAGAACGGGCAGACATAGAGCAATGTGGAGACGTACAACACCCATTCGATGACATTGTTGGCCTCCTTGAAATATTTTTGCCTCTGTGGAATAAAGAAAGAAAGAAAAAAAGATAATGGTATACCTACATTTGTTATTTTCTTTAAAACAAAGCGATCATCAATGCTTCTTTTAAAAACACGATAACAAAACTATTGCTTGTATCATCAGTTTCGTCAAAAGAGCCAAAGAGATAGAGTTGTCGGTTCGAGATAAGTTCCTTGTTATGACTCCTAGAATGCAAAAGAGTAATAAATGTGGCTTCTCAAGTAGTCTGAATAAAAATATTGAGCTGAGTCGGCCAAAGCCGTTTTATCCTCATACAAAATATCTCACCTGATGAATCATCTGTGCTACTTCTTTTAGGATGCAGAGCCCTGCGTACCAAGCCAGGATCCACTTGCTTACTTCGTGTATCAGTGCAGGCGTCTGTTTAATGAATTACCACAAAGTAATAAGGCTCCTTACAAGACGACGAGTGAAAAAATATTTCCTATTTCAGGCCACACAGCTAGGGCAAAGGTTTAATCAAGACATCACAAGTTAATTCGCAAGTTAAGAAAGTTTGAACTCATAATCATCTATACCGTTCATCACAAATCAGATGAGGGAATAACAAGCTAAACCTATACCTCTTGAGGTTCAGCTGAATGTTCCTGGACCGCACACGAGTCGTTGGCGTGGCTGGATTTAAGGTGTTGTAGGGGAACGGTGTGCCATATGAACATAGTTAGGAACGCCAGGAAAAACAGGTAGAGAAAGATGTTTAATACGTGGTAGGTTCGCCCGTAAGCATTCCTGTTTAAAAAGAAACACGCAATAAGTGTTACGACTTAAGGGAATGCGTTATATAGGTCAGTTCAAGCAGACATTTCATTGAAGGTGTTTTTTTTTAAAGATATGACAAGTAAAAACATGAAAACATTGGGCGCCATTAAGAAAGAACAATTAAACAAATAACAAGAATCATGCTTACCATTTTAACGACAAGTAGTTAACGCACACGGGGTGTGACAGTAGTTTTATGCGGTTGAATTTTACCATTGTCTGTGGGGCGGAAATTCAGAAACCAAACAAAATTTAATGAAGGCTACGTCATGCCATTTACCTACTGACGATCCTTAAAACACTGTGTTGGTTACACATTTAAAAAAAAAAAAAAAGGGAGAGAAAAGACAACTAAACTTGGAAGTATTTATAACTGGTGATTAAAAACAATGAGTTTACGTTTAGGACCAGCAGAGGCACATACGCCGTCTTGTCATCGGTAAAATTCTGCTGCAACTGCGAACTGCATTGAAGGTACCGGAAGTCGTACGAATACTGAAAAAAAGAAAGGTAGATCAGTTGATAAATTGACTAATTGATGACTTCAAGTTACATATGTACAGAGTCATTTTAGATTCATCTTACCCCTCTGCATTGAAGTCTACCGTGATCAACTGCATTCTCGCTTCGATCAAGCACTGTCTGAAGATTAAACAAAACAAATTTAATAATTACTTAATTTTTTTGTGTGGAACAACGTTCGGCCTGTGACAAGTTTAATCTTTAAGGAAACAGAACAACTTATTAGGAAAATACTGAGTGAATGAATAGCAAAAACATCCTTATGAATATAATATTCTGATATTCAACAATAATGTCATGAAACATACAGACTCAAAACCAAAGTGGTCCGTAAAATGTACACGTAGGCCTACTCACCAGCGCCACTTCAGGCATGTGTTCCACGAGACCTAACATGTGTGGCCTCGTGTTCGAGTCAGGCATCATCACCTCATGCCACCTAGAAATAAACTCAAATTCGATACCTAAATTAAAATCATCATCAAAACGCCCCAAGCCTCGCTTTTTCACACAAAATAAACCCCTGCTATCATGTTTGCTTATTAAATACTTGTGGTAATTTGCGTGAAACTTTGGGTTCTTCTTTCACGAGATCCGTCAAACTTTGCAAGGTTCACAAGGAAAGAAACAAACTGAAATGTTTTCTGAAGCGGATCAGACTTGAAAAACACTTACATGTTAGTCAACAAACACTTCAACTTCTACTCCACATGAGCATTAGCAAAACTCTGAAGGTTTCCTGCACTTATTCTGAAAACCCTCACCTTTCATGGGCAATGATGGCCAAAGCTACGTCTTTATTATGTGCCTCTATGGTGACGTCCATGACCGTCTGATTGTTCTTGTTCCTCTTGACTTCAGCGCCGTGGTCGAGCAAGAACACGACGGCGTTGGCTTTGCCTTCTACCGCTGCTAGATGAAAAGCCGTGTTCTACATAAATCAATAATGAAAACAAATCAGCATACCAAAGTAAAACGTACACCACAGCGAAATTGTTCAGTCACTCCTCCAATATCGCTTCACAATAATTCTATTTTTATATTGGGGACACTAACTTATACGGATATAGCAGTGACGTAACTATAGCGTTCATTTTGCAGGGAATAGGGCACTAGGGACAGCCTCAATGCAGAGTGGGTTGAAGGGGAAACAACTGGGGACAGGCCTCGATAGGGGCCTCTGCCTTCCCCCATGGCCCATATGACGCCCCTCCATCAGTTACGTCACTGATGTGACGCATAGAGAAACAGTTTAAGTCTAGTACCTCGTCGTCGTCTTTCCAGTTAATCAAGTGACTGTGAACAGCGTGCAACACGTCCATCGTGTTTGTGTAGTCTTCCATCGCTGCCAGGTGCATTGGTGAGCGTCCGTTATGGTCCCTTATAATAAAAAGCGATGACAGTGATAACAAGGCATTTTAGCACCGAGAAAAGGAATTCACTTCGAAATAAACTAAGTCTGTGGCAGAAAAAAAAAGAAACGGCACTGAGCCATAATTGGAAAACAGAACTGCTTGAGGGTCAAAATCAAGAAATCACAAATATCAAATCACAAGTGAAGTCACAGGTCCATAAAAAGTATGAACAATTACAAATGAGTGTATTTTCTACAGTTTCAAACGGTGACATATGAATTGAAATGCGATTGACATCTGGACAAGCCGCGAAGACTTGATTGTACCACACACTTCAAACGAGGAGCATTGCGATGGTGACTCCCATTGACTTTGAAAGACAGACATACAAAAGGATGTTGAGAGGTCTCACTTGTGAAGCAGAGCTCCCTTGAACATGAGCAGCTTGACCACTCTATAATGACCGAACCAGGAGGCGATATGTAAGGCCGTCATCCCTTCACTATCTGTCTCATTAATGATGTTCGGCCCGATGTTGCTATCCAGAAGCTGCTTGCAGGTGTTGAACCTTCCGTACCTTAAAAAAAGGAATGGAGAGTGAGTTTAACCTCAAGGACAGAGAAAAAACAAGATCTTACAAGAAAAGCCACAAGCATTCTCTAAAGGATGTAGCAGTCTGTCCGGAGAAGGTAGAAAGGCTAGAAGATGCCTCCTTAAGTTTTCCATAAGACATCAAGTGAGTATCTCATAATAGTTCTAAACAAATGTGCAACAAAGAAGGCAGCCTTTCAACTGCAAGATTCACCAACAAACTGACCTTGCCGCAAAGTGTAGTGGTGATTGCTTGTCTTTGTTCTTGAGGTTGACCGTGGCTCCTAGCTCCATCAGACCCTGGACAGCTTTAATGCAGCCCTCTCTGGTAGCGTAGTGCATTGGGGTGCAACCAGAGCTGTCCGCATGGTTCAGGAGTATTGCTGCTTCGGGCCTCTGTGGATAACAATCGTGACTAAAATGAGGAAATAGCCCATCCTCCTCGTACTTAAATGGAACTGGAATTGCCTGTGGAGGCAAAGAGGTATACAATTTATTGAAGTTGTCCGTATTGTCTTGATTCTAATGAATAAATAGAAACCTATGAGCATTTTTTGCACTTCTCGATGGTATATGATATACAGCTAACGTAACTCTCAGTATAAAAACCTTAAAGAATTCTCTGCCCAGCATCTCCAAGGATCCCCCGTACAACACAATCAGGTGCAAGACGTTCCTGCCTTCGCAGTCGGTCACCGTGACGTCGGCTCCTCTCTCAAGGAGTAGTAGGACGGACCGCCAGCTGCTTCGCTGAGTGGCCAAGAGTAGCGGCGTCCGCTGGTTCTTGTCCTGGGCATCGATGTAACTGCCCTGAAAACCGGGTAGAAGAAGACGTCAAGAGTGGCGGATAAAAAGACATGCAGACAACATAGGCTGCAGTCCGCAGTTCTACTGTCTGCCTGCATATTTTGTTACCGATGATTCGTCTCCGATCATGATGTACCACGGTAAATTGCCACATTAAGACAGTCATTTGATTATATTTGTTCGAAATTTATTACCTGTTGCAGGAGATACTCGACGATTTCGGAATGGTCAAACATGGCAGCTCTGTGTGTACAAGATAATAAATAATAAAACAGAAAGTAACATTAATACACCTCAAAATTAGAAAATGAAAATTTAATTTTAAATCACTGATTAGTTCGACTTCCGATGACAACTAGGGCACACATTTGCCTTCCTGTCAAGTCAATCCATTCGTTTGCAGCATGCGCGAATCGAGGCTTCTGACAACAAGCTCTTGACTTGATATTTATTTTTTAAAGTCAAAGTTGGCCACATATTTCAACGCAAAGTATGCACATTAATGGTATAAACAAGAGACGCTTAGATCGAATCAAGAGGCAACCGAAGAGGATATGAGGGGAAGCCGAGAACTATACTATCACAAGGTGCTCATACCTGTGGAGAGGCAACTGTTGTTGGCAGTCTGGAACGTTGAGGGCTGTGTCCTTGTCCTTCTGCCGCGTGGACAGCATGAGTTTGACGATATCGAGGGAGCCCTGTGTGCAGGCAAGGTGGAGTGGGGTGGCCTGTTCACCCTAAAGACAAGAGAGAGATGAAAGGAATTACAACTGATTCCCTGTTCCAATCGTTCCATAGATCGATCATGCGCCTTATGCAGAACCAAATACAGCATCGTGTCTTTACTTGCACATTCAGTAAAGGGGTCATAAGCTTTAAGCCTGATAAAGGAATGCAGATGTCAAACACCAGTTTACATCACGCATTGGTCAAAATTGGTTTTCCCTGATTAAACTGTTTTAGGAACAGACGAGTAATGGTTTAGCACCAAATAGCGTAATCAAACGCTGTATGTGGAAAAGTGCGCAGAAATTGTGATACTCAATTTTAAACCGAATTATGACAATTAATTGAGTCCTTTCGATCTCACCTTGCATTTGATAACCTGTCGCACATCGATGCGAGCCCCGTACTTAAGGCACAATTTGACGGCCGCAAAGTCACCGCTATTGACGGCGCTATGAAGAGCTGTGTTCCCTTCTCTGTCGATGAACGCTAAGGCCTTATCACTGATGCTACCTTCACTATCTGTAAAAGGGGCAAAATAAGAACCATGAAGTCAAACGTTAACCAAAATTAATTGTACTCCTGCTAGGACTCTCTTCACTCCCCCCCCCAAAAAAAACAAAATTAATCCCCAAACCAAGGCTAACCCAACGCAACCCAACCCAAAGTCGACCCAACCCGACCCAAACCAACCCACACAAGTGTGTATTTGCCTAAAATCGGGGGCCCCCTATTGTCCCTCTTTCGTTTGTACTTGAACTTTTTAGGAAGACATCCCATATGTTTTGTACACGAATCCAAGTTGGGGACCTCTCGGGAATTGGGGACCCTATTGTCATCTATCTTTTGTTCAACGTCGCCTATTAAATGCAAAAACAGACCCCCCCCCCAGCACAACCCAACCCAACTCCACCCATTCCAACGTATCCCACCTGCACTCACAGAATGAAATCAGAAGATCGAGGACTCCAGCCGAACCGTGCGTAGCTGCAGCATGCATGGCGTGTACGTCGTTGTTATCTCTAACACACGGATTCATGTTTGGCGTACCGAGCTGCATAATGAAATAACATTCAGAAGTTTAACTCTCGAAATGTAACTATTCGGAGGTCAATATGGGTAATTCTGCAGGTTGTGGGTTCAAGTCCAGCCTGGGTAAGGCACTTTGTCACTCATTGCTTTTCCCCACTCAAAAGAGAGTGGGTATACCTGTGAGGGTAGAGATGGTCATGTGTTTGATTTAGCTGATTGCACTGATATGGTAGCATTGAGCTGTATACTTAAGTAGGTAACTGAGATGATCTTGAAATGTTTTTATTGGCCCGGTAATATTGTCCCACGCCACGATGACCTGGTTGGTTGATGTGCGCGGAGCAACATGGAGCCTTTTCTATCAATCTGTTTTCTCCTCAGTCGCACATATTTATCTCTTATTGATACTAAAATGACTTCATAGAAACATAGAACAACAGCTTGTCACCATGGAAACATGTAGAAATTAATACCTTTGAAAAGATACGGGAAAGACATGCAAACTAAGATGTTAAGACAGCTAAATCTTCATGAATCTCTGATCTGTCTATTTCATTAAGAAGAAAACAAGTCCTTAAAAATTATGCGTTCTTAAAACTTGCAAAGGTCATGAAGACAGAAGACGAAGCTATATAAGAATGCACGTTTACAACTTACAAGTATCTTCGCGACCTCGGTGTTGTCTTTAATGGCGCCAAAATGAAGAGCAGTTTGACCAAGATCCCCCTGGTAATTCACATCTATGTCTGGCCGCTTTACCAAAGCCTGAAATATAGCCATTGAATCATTACACGGTCAATGTGACGTACTGCTTATTGCGGAAAAGTACTGAGCCCAATGCAAAACATTTTCTTAATGAGGAAAATCTTTCGTGTGGTGTTATCTTTCGTGTGGCAATCTAAGGTCAAATGCATTGATTCTAAGCCTCGGTTTTGCTCTAACATGACACTTCACGCGAAGAACTGACGGATCAAAACGTATCATTAATGCCCCCCCCCCCCCAACGTCACAACGCCCTGTACACGTTTTGCATATACACCAAATTTCGTGACGTCATTCCCAATGAAAACATGTTTTTTTGCTCTCTGCGCTGCCACTCAATTTTGACGGACAAATTAAGATCATGACGTCAAACAAAATTAAACTTATTCCTCACCTCGAGAGCCTTTGTTTTATTGCGGTCTGCAGCTAGGTGGATAGGCGCCATGTTGTTATTGTTGAATCGTGTGCTGCAGGCGCCATGGTCTAGGAGAAAGTTGATGGCCTCTGGGTGTTCGTGCTCAACGGCCAGATGGAGCGGCGTGTTGCCTGTAGCATCGGTCATGTTGATATCTGCAGAGAAACACACAGAAAATAGTCACCAGTCAAACGAAAATGAGTGGAAATATCGAATTGTCATCTAATCGGCCTAGTCTTATGAATGATAGATTTGGATGAGAAATTCGTGGGCATGCCGTAAAATGCCAGGGCCAGAATCATTCTTTTTTTCTTACAAATTTCAGGCAAAACAAAAACGTGAAAAAAATAATTAAATATTAATATTATGGAATTTTCAGCTTGGGAACTCATTTATTTATCAACATGGTTTTTCTGATTGCATGCCGGAAAAGACTACAGCAATGCAATTAATACTTCAATTTTCTAAAACTGAATGCTATCCTTCAGCTTAAACTCCAATCATACATGAAAACATTAAAAATGATAGGCCCCTAACCCACAGCTAGTAAACGTTAATCAAACGACTTCATATCAATCATCCTAACGTTACAATATATTTGCTAGGCAAATTTAACTTGGAACGAGGCGGTTTTTTTTTCAATCTAGTTTCATCAGTATTCAGTCCAAGTATTAAATCTATCCCTGTATGGCAGCAGATGCAAAGACTTGGCAGACGCGGGGTTTTGAATGAATAAACAATATGGCGTCATGCAATCGATTTCGATATTAAGATAAATGAAGGTCAATCCATTTGAATTCATGTTGCTATGGGGTACAGAGCCAAACTTGAAGCTCACTAAACAAGACGTGAGGTAAACAGCTGCCTTCTAATCTGCTTTCCCGCGCAGGAAATGATCCAAACTTCGTCTGATTTGTTGGAAATCAATGCAAAGAAAAGACACGCGATGGCCTAACAATAACGAGTGAGCAGTAACCTTGGCTTGTGAACTTGAACGTGTAGTGACTTCATACAAGCCATGTCGATGATTGATCAAAGCAGATGAAGAACCCGCGCTTTTCAGAGTTCTTAGAATAGTTAGCCTTAGCAGGGACAATTGTCGGAACTCAACAAATTAAACTACATGTCTGTAAGTATCATTTGCAAGTACACTGAAAGGCATCTATTGACATTCAAAAGACGTCTTACCTGGAGTAAAATTTAATATATGATGTGCTTCCAGAATTTAGAATAAGCCTAAATTGGCAACGTGAAAAATAGCCGGAGTACAGTATCTAAAAGCTCAATATTATAGCAGGTGACAGAGCAATATTTATCGTGAGACCAACTTTGGTGGTTTTTAGGAAAATAAATAGACGACGAAGTCGTTCAACGTTTGTCCAGTCTCGATCCTGACTCGTCAAGTTCACAGTTTGTTATTGATACCGGTTGTAGCTACTTTATGCAATGTCTGTGGACACCTTTGAAATTATAGGTCTAATTCTGTGTCATGTAAAACCTTGTTGATTTTCATCACTTGTTTTGTCCAAAACAAATTACAGTATGAATTCGAAGACTGATACCTAAACCTACCCTCGTCTAGCTGCAGGATAAACTCCATGATATTGATTCTGTTACGGGTGGCGGCGTGATGCAACGCCCCGGCCCCTTGCTTGTCTCGAAACGCCAGCCTCTTAGGGTCGGCGTTGTAGACCCGCACAAACTCATCGTACTTGCCAAGAGCTGCCATCTTTGAATCAAACACAATGCAATCAAAAGAAGGCAAAATCATCGATTGCAACAAGTGATTATTGCTCAATCTGACGATCGATCATAACAAAGTACAATAATTCCCGATAATGCAGTGATTGATACATAGATTATTGATTATTTGTTATTCTTATTACTGATAAGCAGCCCAATTAGATGTCCAGCATTTGAGACAAAAAACAAGGGGGACAGTCAATGATATGCAATGCTATCAGTGAGATAACAACCAAATGAACCAATGATGACCGATAAATGGATAGATTATTGATTATTGTTCAATCCTTTCATTGATCAACGATTGCTCGCACTCCTCCTTAGGTAACCCACCTGGCACTCATATTCCTCGTCGTCAGATTCACCGACATGTAAGTCATAGGTATCCCATTTGTCTTTGCTCAGATTACGTCTTGGTAGCGGTCTGAGCATGAGTTGCACTTCTTCATGTGTGGCCAGCTTTTTCGAGCGACCAAAGCTGCTTTTGCTCGATAGTCTTCGGAGCGAGTTCATGTTGTTTCTACATGTATCTCCTGAATCGGAATACTCGACTTATGCCTTCAACCGATTCCCTATAGGCGTATCTATAGGCCCAATCTGTTACGGTGCGGTGTACCGATTATTGATGGTAAGCTTCAGGTCATCCATTACAGAAATTGTTCTCTGATTAATTCACAAGCTAAAGTCGGCAACATCAGGCTGTTTATAACCGATGTCAGAACATCGAGAGATCGCTGTTCAGGGTAACTATCAATCTCTCTAAACACTCGAGTATTCCCGTCACTACGGTGACCGTGCACGATGACACGGCTCGTTTTCTCGTGATAAGATAAGTCGAACTGGGGAGAATGTTTGCATTATCCATCAACTCTAAAATGTACAAGAAGATACAGGTATACCTTAATGTTGTTTGCTCTTACTTAGTGCAGTGCATCGTTCTAGTTCGTTTTGAAGCGTAAAATAAAGATAAAACGATGACTCGTCAGGCCAGAGTGGCGTCTAAGTTGCATTTTGATGCGGGTATATAATGATAACGTCCGATGAAAATGATGATAGTAATAATAAATTGCAGAAAGATTAGGCCTTTTATGATCTATTTAAGGCCCAATGATATCATTTAAATTACGCACTTGTTTATTTAAAGAACAACTAAACTCGACCGGAAATGATGATGAAAATTCAGCCCTTCCGATATCATACTGTACTGTATCTACTGTACTAATGTTGAAATTAATTATTTCGTTCATTTATAGCAAAAGTACTTCAAGTAAAAGCATATTTTTATTACTTCATTAAAGACAGTACTTCTTTGTTATAACACTGCCGAGTCATGATCTAAGCGTATTTCGTTCTCAATTCTGAGTATGTGTATTGCGAACAAAATACAAACATAACTAATTAACAGCACTTTGCTCAACGTCACGCTCAATAACGGTATACATGCAGGCATAAGGTGGAATTCTGAGCACTAATCGACCAAGACAGAATTATAATGAGCATAAAATGATGCACATTTCCAGCATCGCTCAACAGGTTGATCCCCACTGATTAACCTTCCGATTCTAGAAAACAATCATTTAAAACAAGCGAAGCTCATTGCCGTCTTTTTCTTGTTCCACTTGCACTCGATTTCGTTATCAGAGAACGCCTACCAAAGAGACCATGACAACTAACCACTGCGGGATGCCATTACATTAGGGCCTTAAGGGGTGGATTATAATAATGCTACCCTGGCAACATGCATGCAATGGCTGCTTATCGATCCATCTGGTTGGAAGCTTTTAAGGTATCAGGGAATTTAATCAACATTTTTCTATGGATGGGTAATAACAGGCTTATTTAGGAAATGCACCCAGGTACAAAGATGTGCTTAGTTACGGTAATTGTCCATTTACACCAAACTGAGCCCATTTTACAAATGAAATGTTCCCCATATCGCGTTTTGGACATAAACTCTTGAAATTCAAACAGGTTCATTTGTGTGTGTGTATAAAGACCTTTAAAATTGTCGAAATATGTTTGATATCGGCAAAGGGTCAAACCCAACGCCTAAATTACCAAGGCTACATTTGACTCCTGACTGGACATGACTGGACAAAATGAGCTTTTCTAATACATTGTACTGAATAATGTGGAACAATGGTAAGAGAACAATTTCAGAATAAATATTGGATCGCTATATGGCCTCTGGCATGACGCAGTAGAAAAAGGCGAGAGAGAAAAAGGTCAGCGATAACACAATTTTTCTTCGCCAGAAGAAGAATGACTTTGCACTATCTAATATATATTTTGATGGTATACAAGTTGATTAGTGTCTTTGATTTGACATGTTTGGTATACCCTGCAATAAATGCGGGTCAATTAAACACTCCAGCAATCGCATATCTCCTCGCAACCTCTCGCTGGAATGGTTCCAACCGCTAAGCAAAGTGGCCATAATTGATGGGACCGGAAGTGGTGTTTTCACAGCGGAAGCTTCACTGCCCTCCCGGTGAATTAACGACAGTGACAACGCAATACCGAGTTTCACGGCATCAATAGTCACAGAGCACAGTTATTATACCTTTTTAACCAAGTTGGACTTGATTCAGCACATGCATGATGGTGAATCTGTAGGGTGAATCCACTTGATAACTCACGAAAAGCAATTATAAGCATGATCATGTCGTGCACATACTGCCCTCCATTACTTCTCATTTAGCGGCAAGGATTGTGGCAGCAATGATTTAGCACGGAAAACTCGTTTTGATTTAATTTTAAACTCGGACAGCACATGGCAAAATTTGCCGTATCAATTCAAGCTCTTACAAAAGAGCTGTATAATAGCGCGGTCTAAAACCACGTAGGGCCTACTTGAAGTTTTATCCGGATCGGGTATATTAAAAGTCCATTAGACCACGTCAATACAGACGTCAATACACAATGTGCATCTTTATTTTGACCTAAAAGCTTTTCTCTTACGGTAGCAATCCCAAGTGTGCCGTACGATAGTCGGTGATGGAATTATTGCACAGGCTGGAAAGTCAGGGGGGGGGTTGGGAGGGAGGAGCATTATAATTTTGCGAATAGAAAGACGCCTTTGGTAACTTCCTCCCTTTCTTCAAAAAGATCATATATCATCATTTTTGTAAAAATCTAAACAAATTAGAAAAGTTAATGTATTTTTTAAAGTGTATATTCACCATTATTCAAAAGATCTGGCAGGTTAATTGAAGAAGGCAGTGCGATTTCGTTAGGCGTCATCTGGAATAGATGCGTTTGGTGATATGATGTGGCCCACAACGGAATACTTGATGACAACAATATATCAAATTGAACACCAATTAATAGGGTTGAAACATAACAATCTGGAAAATCTACAACTAATTTAGGGCATGCACAGAACGTCTTTAAACGAAATCGTTGGTTAACATGCTGTGCTTGTAATTAGCTACAGTTTGTTGTTTTACCTGCAGTTCTATAGGTGTGCTTGGTGTATTTACATGATGGAATCACTATTTTGTATTTGATATAACTAACTTACTTGGTGTATTTACATGATGAAATCACTATTTGTGTTTGATATAACTTACTTACTTGGTGTATTTACATGATGGAATCACTATTTGTGTTTGGTATAACTTACTTCTTGCTGTATTTACATGATGGAATCACTATTTGTGTTTGGTATAACTTACTTCTTGGTGTATTTACATGATGGAATCACTATTTGTGTTTGGTATAATTTACTACTTGGTGTATTTTAATGGAGTCATTATTTGTGTTTGGTATAACTTACTTACTTGGTGTATTTACATGATGGAATCACTATCTGTGTTTGGTATAACTTAGGCCTACTTCTTGGTGTATTTATAAGTGATGGAATCACTATTTGTGTTTGGTATAATTTACTACTTAGTGTATTTTAATGGAGTCATTATTTGTGTTTGGTATAACCTACTTACTTGGTGTATTTATTTGATGGAATCACTATTTGTGTTTGGTAAACTTACTTACTTGGAGTATTTATATTATTGAATCATTTGTGTTTGGTATAACTTACCCTTAAAATGCGATAGGGGCTATCGGCGATGGAACACACCCCAATCGTCTCTTCCTCCGTGACCGGTGTGCGGTCCCCTTTGTCCTTTCCCTGGCCCCTCCCAAGATGGTTCATCTTGGTCCCTTCTCCGGCACTGCCGTTACTGGTCGGTATGTACGTCAGTCCCATGTTACGGCCGAAACGTAGCAGGGCTGAGATGGTGCGAACCCGCGGCACCGGCGTACGCTCGTCGCCCTCCATTACAGTGTTATCGACTTCAACCGTCAAAAAAGTATCAGCGCGTATAATGATCCTTTTAATCAGTTGTTCGTATCAGTCACTGTATACTTTCCAATCAGTCAACGGCTGCATCTGATGAAATAAGGAAACAAGACTGCATTATTTCGATTGCAATATCAGTCCATTTTCCGTATACAAGGCGAACGTGCAGTGAATGCAAACTGAGTAATTTTGGTAACCACTTCATTCTGATGACAAGATTCAAATGAGCGTTCTGCATCGTGCACGCAGAATTGTGCCACTGCGATTCTGCTCCGTGGAGCATATTGTGCGGGGTTAATTCAATCCACAGTAAGGCCGATAGCAACAGCTGAACAGCTGACGTTTTCACATTTGCACTTTACATGTTTTTCTAAACTTCATACACGCGTTGCGCAATATTTTGTTTGGAGTACAAGAAATGTTTCCACAGTAAACGTCAGAGAAGCCCTTAAAACTGGTGCGCAAACAAACTCCAGCCATAATGCTCAGTTCAAAAGACGTCATGATGACGTCACCAAAGGCCACATTTTTGGACAGTTCTTTGTACCAGGTTTCGTCTTTATGCCTTGAACTGTTTAGAAGAATTCCATCTGTGTAAATACTGAGGTCACCTTTGTTCGTTTGCTCTTGCCATTGACTACAACTACATACAATATTTGTGTTCTAGTTAAGTTCTGCGAGTTCTGCAGGATGCGAATTTTCCCGTGTTTTTCTCCAAAAAGGGTTTTTCACGGGCTGTTCGCCCCTCCCGTAATCAGCGAATGTATAGAAATATACATGTATATTTAACTGATGTCGCAAGAAATTTCCAAATTCGTCGTGTAAACTTAAATCACCTTAGCAATGTCGTTTCCAACTGTATATGTTTCTTTGTAATGTTGTACAATATTTAAAATAATAATCTCGTATGCTTTTATTTTATTTCATTGTATTGTATTTGTAATGTATTGTATTTGTACATGTGTGTATAAACATTAGTAGCGTATGCAGGACCCCAATGAAAACCAGTTTTAAGCTGTTTGGACATACCCTTGGTAAAGAGGTGTAATAAATAAATAAATTAATGTAATTATGCTAGACATAACCTTATTCTTTTAAGTGCATTTCTGGTACGGTGCTGCACATAAAACGTATAGCTACTCAAAAATAGAAACAGAATCAGTAGACTTCAATATGGAGTTTGACGGAACCTCTAACGTCCTTGGAGTACATGCAAACGTATGCTAATCATCTAAAAATAAATGTTTTATGGCGTTTTTTGGTTTTCTGCTCTCATGAACAAACACAAGAATAGTTCGTGGCTACACTGTACGAAATAATAATTGTATTATAAATTAACTTTTACCGCAAGACGTAGTGTGACCTCATGACGACGTCATCTTATATCCAGTTATAATTGGTTTTAGTATTTTCGTCATCATGACGTCAGAGTAATATGCACTATGGATCAGGGTCGATGTTGGTTCGACGTTTATACCACAAACCGTTTAGAAGAAAACCCGCGGAGAATTATCCGGAAAGAAAAAGAGAGATCACCCAATCAGAAGTGAACTGCATGCTTTTGGATTGAATTTAACGTGCTATCGATCCAAACGCTCGAGGTTACACCTAAAACTCGGTCAGAGAAACCCTTGTTTCTTCTGTTGTTTTTGAGCCAAAATACGGCTGAGAAAAGTCGGCAGATAACTGGAAACTGGCCATGCACAGTACACGTTCAATTACAGACCAATTATAAACAGGTGCCTTGATTCTGAACATCGGGCAGGCAGCACGCACTTTTAGTCAAGAGCAAACAATGCCATAAAAAATTATGTTGGTCAGTGTTCTATTTATTAACACGGAAAGCAGACAAAAATTGATATATTAGACAATGCAGTGCCCTCAGCATAAAATAGGATATTCAAAATGGGACAAAATCAGCAGTTTTAGAATGCGCGATAAATTGATCACATTTTCCACAACAAAGCCCGCATGTTGCGTTCTTTTCTCAATCTGGAACATGCATTTATTCAAGTCCATTTAAGTTATCCGTCGCTATGCGGGACTACCACACTCTATCCTAAAAGTGCTTCGATCGCCAGCTGCACTCGTAATTACACACAGCTAGAATTCTTTGTACTTGTCGATCAATTTATAATTGAAATCATCGAAAGAAAGCCCTTGTAGAATAATGGATTGCATTGAATAGAGGTTTAACTAAAAATTAGTTGCACAAAGAATCGTTAATTGTGCTGCACGCATAATACTGCAACTTGGGGAGTTGAAAAATTGCCCTCCAAACAGAGAATTGCTTTTGCAATCGTACCAGATTCTAGAATAAGGCACAATAATAAGATCTTTGTGTTCCTATATTGTCCAATAATTATTAGAGTACAATAATTGCTGGAATGTTTAAAATAATAATGATTATTTTATCAATCCATCGTTGATTATGGATACAAACATTCAGCTTTTCTTGAAAATGACAGCAAACCAGGTGTCATGATTTCACAGGATGATTGAGACTATTAACTTACCTTCAAGTAAGTTTTTTTGACATTAATTTGGTAGTTTTTTATGTTTGCATAATGTTGTATATCACCTTTAAATGAGTGTTTTAGGGTGATTCAAATTGGAGGTTGGAAGGGTTAAGCTGCAGCTGCTTCAAGCTAGCTGGAAGTTTCCCTTCTGTCTTGCTGCAGAAGTCAACCAAGCGATAAAATACCGGTAGCTCATGGAATCACAATTAAGTAACAGCCAATACATGGCATTCACACTTACTAAGGCCGTGACGTCATGAACTTGAGTAATTGACAATGAATAGCCATAGGTCCTGACCGGAACGAAACATTAAGAACTCCATTTTTCTTTTTGTATATTTCAGGTTAATCCAGTCAGTTAGCAGTTTGCAGTAGTTTTATTCATTTTCATAGTATGATGAAAGGTAGACAAAATATCACTGTCCAACGGTTGGCTCCAGACAAATCATAAATGAAATTATCATATTTTAGAGTCGTTTGTTTGCACGTATGGCCGAACAATCTGCTTGAACTGTATCATTTTGCACCATGTCAGTGTGTGGCACATATCGTAATTTATTATGGCCACATGATCGCACAGGAGAGTAATTACCCACAGTGTGTGGCAGTTGGTGGACTATCCGCTACCAATTCCTGGATATTAAATGGACCTTCGAATAGAAATGATTACAATTTTCCATGCTTTGACTCCTTTGATATATTACATGCAGCTTCATCTAGAGCATTTTGCAATTCGTGGAACTCATTTTCGTCTAATGACTGTAGTGAGTCGTGCAGAGTGCTTCATCCTGTTTTAATGAACTTTTCTCAGGGTACGCCACCTTAAAAATCAAAGCGAGCAAGTAAAGGAAACAAAACATGGTGGCGTAACACGGTGTGTGCGGTGAACGGCAATTTTAGAAATGGATATAGCTCAAATTCCCTCGAAACATCAATCCGTATTCTAGGTAGTTTATGTCTCATTACATTTTGGAGAACGACCTTATAATATATAACAGCGGTTAAATTCATTCGCCGCACACACCGTATACGCCGCCATGTTTGTAATTGTTATTTGCCTCGCTTTGATTTTCAAGATGGCGTACCCTGAGAAAGGTTTATGGTTAAAGGATGACTCATTTCACCCTTAAGAGCTATCAAAAACATTTAACAACAGTTTCGATTTAACTTCGTATTTGGGGTTTATAAATGATGATTATGCTGAATTTACTTTTCGGTGGGAAAATAAATACCCGGTTACGATGCATATTGTTTGCTGCAAGAATTGTATATTTTATATCGATAACTAGTCAGGAAAAATGTGTGCATTTTCAGCTATCCGTACAGTTGCGGGCATGCGCAGTTCTGCTGGTAAAAAAAAAGTTCTGTTGCAAATTTCATCCCGTAAACTATATATGAAACATATATAATACGCGAAAAAATATGAACAAACACCCGGAAGTGCCCTTGCAAATGGCTAAACATCTTTTACGATGCATCTTTATTTTGACCTTGAAAACTAAAAGCCTTGAAAGAGCCTTCCAAACTAATGCAATTTGTAGACGTCAAGTGCAAAGTTGGATACTAATTCCTATGAAGGTGAGTTTTGTTCTTAGTATTAATGCGCTGGCGGCCAAACATTAATGGTCTCCTGTGTGAAACATAAAATAGCCTCCTTGTACACCAGCTGTGGAATTAATAATACACTAAGTCTGTAAATTGATGCATCGTGTGTGACGATCGCATGGTCACTTTGCTAATTTCATTAGCATCGTAATGCACCAGTGCTGCTCATTGCGGTTGGGATAAAAGCCGAGAAAGGCAATTCTCTCGTTATAATTGTGACTTTAAAATACTCGGTAACTGCGTGGGGTCCCGTTTCCAGTTCCCCCTATGCCCGAGGAAAAATGCTGTGAAACTGCAAGTTGTAAAACGCAGAAAAGATGTGCCTCCCCGTAACAATTCCAGGAAGAAGCAATTGCATTGCAATAAACTGCTTCATTGTGCAAAGGTAGTCACGATTTGGTCACATAAATTATTCACTACAAGCGCTTCGTTTGAGAAGGTGTAGCATTAAGAATCCAAGCCACATATCAAATGTAGCGTTACAAATTGATCTTCATTTACCTCAGGGCTTTAATGGAAGACTGCACATTTAGATATGTTCAATTAATTTAAAGGTAAAGGCAATCACGTATCTGCTTAAGGAAATGAATACAGCCTACACTTGGGTTGTCGTCCCTCGAGCAAAATACGGGAGGGGAAATGGCGGATCCTTGGAATGGGATTAATGGATGGTAAGGGTAACCCAAGGGCGGGGGATGGAGTAGGATGGCATCAGATTAATTGGTGATAAGATTACAGCTTGTATGTCGTTAATGTACTTCAAAGCCAAAAAACTAAAATACAATGTTTATACAATAACAGATAAAATGAATGTTCTGTTCCTCGTCCTGCTGATAAAAGCACACTTCTTAGTCTGATTTAATACTCACAGTAACACCATCATGTACCACGAGACAACATTGTATCCCAAGTTTTAAGATCCGAGGCGGTATGTTAATTCATCCGGTAGTGTTTAGTGTCAGGTAAAAGTGTGAGTGAAGACAATATTTCTGCACCTGTCAGATGCCGGATCATATGGCACCCGGGAGTTTCATGATACATGGGTTCAAAACTAAGGGCATAAATAATGTTGAAAAGAGCTTGACGTTAACTTCGGAGGAGGAGGAGGACGACTCGACGCGGCGTCGTCCGATTCTGCCTGATACTAACCAGCAAGACATCAGAGGTCACGTGGTCGATAATTAATTCTCATGGTCACTACTCTTACACGCTGTACTTTTGATAATGACTTTAGTGACCGAGGCATTTAACAATTTGACCCTTTCAGCCAGTACACTAATGGGGAGTTTCCTAGCGGGACGCAGGCCGTGGCCGGTAAAATACAATTTTCGCGAAGATACTGGTCGTTAATTTCCTCCTGATAATATTTAAGTTCGTTGATGGGTTGAAGAACTGCACGATTTGTTTTTTATTATTTTCATTTGATCGCTTTGAAATAATTATATCAAAGATATGCAGTTTTTCTCTATGTGCTAGTGTTAAGAGTTGGCGTGAAAATTATTATTCGTGTGAAAACCATAAATATGTCAAGTATAATCCAGGAAAACGGTGAACCAAATGAAAGGAGTTCTCAATGAGACAACGTCTTAGAAATACTCATTATTTACAATGTTACAATTAGTATGTCAGGCACTTTCCTAAAACTACGAAAGCCCGTTAGTGCCACCACTTTTTTTCCGAGAGCAGTTGTTTTCATTTCGAGTGCAGTATTTTTTTTCGTCGGAGAACTTATGTTTTCCCCAGAGCAGTAGTTATAAATAATTACTCTGGATAAAAATTGCTCTCGAAAAAAAATAGTGCTCTTGAAAAAAACCGCTCTGTTTTCGCAAAAAAAGTGGTGGCACTACCGGTCTTTCGTATGAAAGCGAAATGTCTCAACACTTTTCCAAGTCGTTTTATAAAATATTCTTTAACAGTAAACAAATATAAAAAAAATCTTGTTTTGTATGTTTGTATGTTTCCGTAAATATTTGGTGTAAAAAACAGTGCGGTAGGTCTACAAAAAAATGAAGTACACAAAATACAGTACAAATAATGTTGGAAAACCGAGACTTATCCGTATTTTTGTGGTTCATTATGATAATTGCCCAAACCAATTTCAATATTCCTACCTGTGCCTGTGAAAAGTTCGGTCAGATATCAGCCCAATGTACGGCCTGACGTCTCCTCAATAATAATGCGATGTTCAAATTACAATCCACGTGTGGAACTCATCGATACTTTTCGGCGGAAACACTAATGAAAACGACTTCGATAACGGCTCTTCAAACGACTGTATTGAAGAGAAGCAATAACGTGTTGCGTGGAGAAACGATCACAGTAGCGGTAGCCGGACTCCCATCGTTGTTTACCTTTCGTGTTTAAACGGTCGAGCGATTTGGCGTTCAGTTTTAAACGTTCATAGCAGTTGTTGTTTACATCATCATGAAATCTGCCAATGGCGCCATTTCAGATCCGAGGAACTCAGTGGACGTTAGACCCGTCCATCACTGTTAAGCTCACCAACTCAAACCTGCTGATACCCAAATTGCATCCTTGTCAAATGACCAATACTTCTACAAAACTGTCCAGTGTGACTTTACAGAAGAATGTTACCAGACACTGGTTTTAAACAACTGCTCAATTCAATTCCCATTACCACGAAATCCAGTGGCGGCTCCGCGCTTATGATCATGCGTTCAGCTTCTGAGCACCCGCCTCACTCGATGCACATGGGTCGAGGAAAATGCAAATGCATATAACGGCTGGATTAATGCAATGGGTTAATTCTAGTTGACTGCAGTCGATTCCCGTCCAATCATGAGACAGGTGCAATGATAATGGTACATAGATTTAACAGCTCAGGCTTGTAGGTGGTCGCGGAGCATCCATTAATACAAGTGGATATCATTGACGATAATGGAGCCGTGTTTACAGATCACTTCTGGGAGTGACTTAGGGTGGGGCTTTTGGGACGGGAGGGGGCGGGGACGATGTCTACCTCACAAACTTTGAATACAATCTGCATGGTGTCTTTAACCATATATGGAAAAGAACACTAACACGTGACTTGTCATATTTCAAATTCTGAGAACTGAGAGATGCACGATATAACCAATGAATTAACAACAGATACAACGTGAGTCAACATTTCATTGCACACCGTTTTTTCCCCCGCGGATTCTTGACGCAGATTTCTTGGAGAATGGATGGAATAACTTACATACCTCTTTGACGATTCCATGCAATGTTATTCTTATCCTTTTCTGCAGTAGGCCTATCGTTTGCAGGTCGAAGCATAGTGAAAGATGGTAATTTCCTTGTTGTTTTGCATGGTAAAAGTGTTGGAATGCACTTGGAATTGCGATTCATTCAGAAGCACAGACTTTTTAGAATGCCGGTGCATTTTTCACGTAGATTATGTCTGGAAGCTTTGGGTTACCATATAATAAGTTACGACCGGAGTTACAATTACAAAACGGGTATAGGCTTATATACGCTTGCTTTGAATATCGCTTTTGTAAACTTAAAACACAGCTAATTTGACATTTGGGTTATTTTGGGATATTCTAATTCCAAATAGTCTGATCAACATAGAAATGTGCATAGGCTGACTGTTACAAAGAAGCTTCGTATTTGCTTGCAAATCAAATTAAATAATAAAGTTAAATATCCCCTAAAACGAAACACCAAATGAAACTCATTCAAGCATTTTTGAAAAAAAAAAACAATATGTAGCAATTAACGAACAATGCCCCATGCTCAAAAACTGCATGGACGATTAGCTGCAACTCTATTAAGATCGGAGTTTATGTTGATTTACAATGTCTCATTGTCACAGCAGCATTGAGTTCAATGCAATCTCAAAACTACTTTTAACATTTTTTGTCAGGTCAACATTCAGAAAACCAATCATTAAGCAAACGTAATAATATATCTGGGGCTCATACCATATTCAGCGCTTGTATACATTGTATCCTCCTTAATGAGTACATAAATTGATATAGACAATACCCTTGTTCATTAAAAGCGAACACAAATATGAAGAGGTTTCTCTTTCGTTTCATGCGACTCAGAGGCGTGTTGTCTTCACATGTGAATATCACATGTAATCTATTTTCACGATCTTTAATTAAAAGTTAAACCCCCATTTCGCTCGTCATGAATCCCCACGCACTCAAATAAAAGACAAACAAAGTGTAATTTAAACACGGTCCTGGAGGCCGCGTGTTTACCAAACCCTTCATGGAAGTCGCAGACTGTGGGTTTTTGATCACATCTGATTACACTCATCAATCCATATAGGGACTAATAAGAAGACTCCTTCTCACTGTTTGTCAAATGGCGATATCTCGTAACAGCAAACTCATTAGCCTTTGAACTGTCGAGTGCTTTTGATGAAGTTTGAGTCCTGAGGATCAAAAGTTACTACTACTGAGGCTTCCATTATCAAATATGAATGGGAGATTACAGTCCATTAGTGATATACCTTGGAGGACGTTATGAAGACATTAAAGATTGGTGCGTGTGAATAACAAAGGAAATGTGACATTTGATCAATTCGGAATGTGACTTACCAGACGGGCGTGGTTAGCGCGATGACATCATGTGCCTTAATTTGAAACAAGTTTATACACGCACGTCTTTTCGCAAATGGAAGTCCGTTTCGTATTTTCAAAATCATCACACACTTAATTGTCTGAGACAGCGACTCGGAATTCGGTTGCTAGTTGTTTATGCTACCGCGTTTACGTTGTAGATGGCTTTTTGATGACAGTACTAATTAAAACAGGCCTCCGCGATTATTGCTCGTATTGTGTTTCGCTGTAAAATAACAGATTCAGGCAAGGACTTGCTATAAAAGGCAAATGTTTACTTAAATCAGATACATCTACGGATACAACACAGTATGTTTAGATAGCACGAGGATAAAAGTGGGCTATAATTACGGAAAGATAACGATTTGAGACACAGAAAAGCTTGTGTCGATGTTGTTTTATTTCAAACCAGAATGAGTGGATTATAAAAAAAAATGCATTTTGTAAATAAATTAATTGATATATAAATTCTTTTGCATGTTTTCTCTGGTCTTGCAGGCAATTTCACATAATACCCACATGACAACGACAAAAGTATTACAATCTATTGCAAATAGTGTATTATTGAAATATAAACAAATTCATCAGAAATTGTAAAGCTGCATATTTTTCCTGACATAATTGCACTTTCGATGAAGTATTTTTTTTTTATTCTGGAGTAAATGCACTAGATCTAGCTACATGTGCCGCGTCACTATAACACCATGATCATCATACCATTTTTCACAAACTGTTTTAACACTGTTGATGTAAATCGAGCGTAAACAAATTGGACTATATACAGACAAGATTGTTTCAGAAGAATTGCTTCAAGAATTTATCCGTTGCGATTTAAATAGGTCTACATTCTGATCCAACAATATTAAGTGCAATTCGCATAATATTAAAATATTTATAAATAAGAGAATTCATTAATAAACTTTGCAGTATTTCCCGTGAAACTGGTACCTTTTGATGTAATCTACAACCGCGTACAGTTGAAGATTTTTTTTTTTCCAAATTTTGATTTTTGCTTTGTTAGAATGGAACACGTCAATGATGGACGCACTTCAAAATGTTTTCTTTTCTAGAAACATTTTACGGAGAAAAGAAAATGATAACCGTTACTAATGCACATATAACCGTCCACGTCATGTTATTATTACTATAAACATATCCTTTTCTATTTACATTTTTTATAGTTAAATATGTCAAGATCCTGGCACTACATTGTAGCGTACAGTCTGGCTTTTACTAGAACCTCAAATTTTAATTTGAATCGCACATTTACTTACCATTAACGAAGGTATATTTACATATTTGAACAAATACAGTCACATTTGATGTTTGGTAACCAAATATTAACAAACGTGACGGGACTTGTGTTCAAGTAAACCCCATTCTTTACGATCACCCATTACCTTTTGTTCCATTAAACCACTTGACAATTGTTTTAGCAAATACGACGAATCTGCCACGATGGCAAATGACACTTGATATCGTTGCATCTGGGCAGAACAAGTCTAAAGTCTGCATGCGTGGAGCACACTAGAAACTACACAACAGTTGCGCAACACTTTCAATATCCAAGTCGTCATCATGCCGTATACCGATTATCCACTAAGATTTTAGACAGCGCCCCCAAGAGAGTAATGGATGTAACATTGTCTTCTTCAAATCTTAAACTTAGAAAATTGTTTCATTACAATAGAATTTGGCACACACAAAACATATGGCGCCAGTTTATACATTGCACTAAATTAAACTCCGTATCAATTTCAGCCCCATGGTAGAAAAAAAACCAATACTTATGATTGTCGTGTGATCTAAGATGGCGGCCAAGCTCGTGGTCCTACTGATACTGGATCTCTGAGGCGTGATAGAAGTCATCCAGGAAAGAGTGGAGGAACTCGAAGGTTGGTCGCTTCTCAGGGACAGCATCCCAGCATTGCTTGGTGATATCGTAGAGCTGGTCCGGGCATTCTGGAGGCTTGGGCATCCGATAGCCACGGGAGACCTGGTCTAGCACTTCCCGGTTCACCATGCCTGCAAAGAGAGAGGAAAAAAGTAAACTCCAATATCGTGAAGTCATAAAATCACTTTTAAGCCAATATTATTCTCCTTGGAGGTACTCTAGGTACTGTGGTAGTAACTCTGCTGCAATGTTTGTTTATATCGTTCACGAAAAGACAGATGAAAAGTGTGATCCAGTCAAAACAGTCTCATGTATAACGATCATTTTCAAGTATGAGCCATTCAAATGAACCGCCAAAAAGACACAAACAACCTAATTGTTCATTACCTGTTACTCATGCTCGACGTGATAGCAACTCTAGATGCACTTCCTCTAGAGGGCTCTCGCCCAAGCAAGTACATATCACAAGGGCTCATCACATCAATTGTTGGTATAATCCAGGAAAATACATTCGCCACAAGAGGGCGCTATCTACTTACCTGGATAAGGCACCCTCCCTTTAGTGATGACCTCGTAAATAAGAATTCCGAAGGACCAGACATCGGACTTGATGGTGAACTTGCCGAAGTTTATGGCCTCAGGAGCGGTCCATTTGATGGGCATCTTTGCACCTAGATATAAAAAGACCAAATCACCATACAGTCAAGATTGAGACGAAACCTTATATAAGGGACTCTAACAGTGGGAGTTAATCCTGGCTCAAAATCCTACACATCCCTTCTTTTATGAGGACAAGTGATACTGTACCTTCCTTTGCGATGTACTCATCTTCGATGATACGCGAGAGTCCAAAGTCGGCAACTTTGCAATTTCTGAGGTCTCCCACCAAGATGTTCCTGGCTGCCAGGTCACGATGGACGAATCGCTGTGATTCCAGGTACGCCATGCCGTCTGCAACCTGACAAGATAAAAACGACCCAGTAAATCTATAAAAAAGTGATTCTGGACATCTGCCAAAATCTCAGGTCTAAGGATTTTCCACTTTGAGGGTATGGCCACGAGCCAGAGACCCTTGAAGGAAATTAAACTGTGTCCATGAACTACAACGCTCCTTAGAATTCTTCCTGACGAAGGATAGAAATGCAATTAAAAGTTTAAAGAACAGAAGGAAAACGATGAGATTATATTTCTCAGTAAAACACAAACAGAAACTATATGGTGCACATGGTAGGATTCGAACCTATGTCAAGGCGGAGATCCAGGAAACATTTTGTACCTGTGCCGTGATATCGATGAGCTCGGGTTCCCGTAGTTGTTTCCCCTCTCCCTCGTGCAGGTAATCCAGCAGACAGCCGTTCGTCATCAGCTCCGTCACTATGTAGATTGGCTCCTGCTCGTACAATGGAAAAAAAAAGAGTTGCTAGAAATTGTGTTGCTTAATCCTGCAACCAAGATGAAGGCTGCATCCTGCTGCAATTCTACTGAAGATGAACAACAATCTCTTATATCAATGTCATGGAGATGCTAATGCAAGAACCAACGGGATAGTTTTCCAGCCAAACTGTCAAGAGATCTGTATTGCTCTTGATTGAATCCAAGCTGAGTTTTCCCTCAGCAAAAATATTGGTTAGCAAGGATCGTTTGTTCAGCTTTAACCAGAATCGATGCGTGCCTTTTCCTGTGACATTTGTGGGTTGGCCATCTGTGTTCCACATTTCTTTCAACATGAATTAACTTCGTGGTGGGATTTTTCGGTTGAGGGTCGATCTTTAGATTTGGGTGGTTTTTTTGGCAGGCAATGTTCTTTATTTGCCAAAAGTGGCAACGCCTCCAAAGTGCTGCATGATGCCAAAAAGTCTCATAAAGATTTTGGCAAGAGGCTTAAGCAGTTTTGAACTGGCTAGAAATGTATTTCAGACACTTCAATGAAGAATTTTACCAAGCCCGAAATGAATTCACCACCGCTTTAATAATCTCGGATATCAGCCGCTAGTTCTTCAAACAATTATTCTGGAAATTTCAATTGAAAATTATTTTGCTAGACAAGCATTCAGTAAACTCTGAAACCTCATTCTCAACACACCGTAAAAGTCTCATCAAAAAATTTACTCAGCCTTTTCAAATCTTGAGATGCAAATGCATTTATAGCCCAAATTGGTTGAGTGCGTTTACAAGACTTACTCCCTCTGAACAGACGGCGAGAAGAGCCACCAGTTTCGGATGCCGCAGTTTCTTCATGATGTTGGCTTCTTGAAGGAAGGCCGTGGGATCCATGGCGCCTTCCTTCAACGTCTTCACTGCAACTCGCACGGTTCCATTCCATGTACCTGGGTTGGAAAAGAAACGAGCCAAAAACATACTGTTACCCTTTCTGGATGTATTCTTAGATTGCCATACGTGCAATGACACATCGTTGCCTTTAAGCATATCGTAACGTAACAACACCTGTCGGCTTTGGTATCACAGTGAAAAGGTCAAGACATGCATTGGTAAATGTCAAGTACAAGTCCAAGCCTCAGATGAATATTTTTTTCAGAGCAGTCTCAATGTCTTTCTGGGACTGTCTCTAAACCAAGATCTCTTGCGTTCATCTTAATGTTGAGAGTGTTCTCATACGATAGCAATTCTTGATGATGTAAGAGATGCATTCGCAAAGTTACACAGCCACATTCTTGCATCGGGTGGGAAGAAAAGAGTACAGAGGAGTATCCATGCATTCTTATAAACAAAGGCATTCATGAATTTGTAGGCCGATTTTAGACATGCCTGGTCAGTTATTTGTCTTTATTTCAAAAATCTTTCATATAATCTATTATTTTGTTCATAAACACAGTTCAAATGTCCTTTTTACTTATTGATTTTGTGAACACCGATCAGAAAACCATGCGTGTTATTTAGGAAAGAAACACTGTGTTTTTTTTCCCTCTGATTTTAACGTTTAGGCCTACCATGATTTCGACTGAAAACGACAAAGCAAGAAAAGCTACAAATTGAGAGGTTAAGAAAATAGCAAGGTAGGTTACCATTCAGCAGCACATGCCACAGGCGAGCATCAAGCAGCGCAGACGGCAGTCATCCACACGGAAGCCATGGCATCAGCGTCATGCGGAACCAACCGTACGGGGAACCAGCTTCGCATAACCGGCCCTTTTTATGCATACCATTCGGAAAAACGGCTTGCGTTTCAGTCAAACGATCAAAGTATCACAACCACCGAAAGCCTTTGGCAGGCTCATTTCAGCAACTGGTGGGTTTGTGACCCTTGGTGGCAGTAAACAGGGAAATATTTTTGTTTGCCTGTGCAGGCGCAGTAGCCAATATTGAACGATTCCGAACAAGCGAAGTAACCAATGGCGAACGTGTAAAATTTCTGCTACCGCTTCGTGTGCCAAAATATCAATATTTCTACTTTTATTCGCTGAAAAATAGCATTGCGCATCTGGCAGGTATTAATACGAAGCTGAGATCCCCAAACGCTTGTTTTCATCGCACAAAAAATCGACAAAAATGAAATTACGGGAATGCTCTTCGGCTCTCTCCAGCAACGCACCTTCCCAAACCTCGCCGAATTGTCCATTGCCCAGTTTGCGTTCCAGCTTGATGGAGCGACGCGGAATCTCCCAGACGTCTTTGCTGATCTCAAACATGACGGGTTTCTGGCGTGGGCAAGGGTTCAGTAGACGGCAGACCAGTCCGTCTGCTTGGCCTGCAAACAATAAGACGAGTCTTGGTCAAATCAACAATAGTAATTCGGTGAGTGAAATTCAGAGTGAAATCTTCCAATCGATCAGATCGAGTTTTATTCATAAGATGGAATTTGCGTCGGGTTGTTGTAAATTCAATATTGGTGATGTCATACTCAGCGTTGTTCCGTATGATTGTAATAGGAAAAACATCACCCGGGTGGGACTCGAGCCCACGACCGTCTGCTTACTACTAGTGCAGACGTTTTACCACGTAAGATGGCTCTTGTTTCGAGAATTTGCACTCGAGGTCTCGCTGGACTGATTCTCTTTTTTTAATAATTCAGTCTAAATGGTCTTGGCTTAGTTCCACTCTTTGGAAACTAAAAAGTACAGAACTCATAGTTGAAGAACAGAACTGGCATGCAAGTGGCGTTTGTTTGGTAAAATACACTCCAAAGGTTGGCTAGTAATATCTACATCCAGTGTTTTGTTGATTATCTCAGATACAAGGACGGTGTAGATTTTAAATCCCCTTGAAAATGTGGATATGAAAATAAGATGAAAGTCTCACTTGTATAATGGTTGACCAAATCATGTAGCGTATGGAAAGTAATGCGTGTGCTGATGTAGTAACCACCGTTGTCCAGAGTTCTTATGCGGTAATGTTTGACATTAAAGCCTCTAGCGTCGTCATGATCCAAGACGGATAACGAGTAGGCACCTGATGGAAAAATACACATTATAAAAGATTAAAACAGACAATTAGGTTCTCTTTTGCCTTTGATCCAAGGAAGACAATTAGCATGGCGTGGGAGAAACATCCCGTAATTTTCTCATCGATTGTAACCAATCTGTGAATTTGATTTATACTTCACTTCTTTTGGCTCTTTCAGATTCACTGTCTTTTCGAAGCACCTGTCATTAATTAGCCAGGTGATGTGTACAAGATTAGAACCACCATTCTCAGTTGTTTCAGCACAAACAATATGTCAATTTCATCTTTCTCCTTGGACAGATCGATGGGTAAAAGCGAGATTTCTCTCGCGAGTGTGTAAGTGTTCAGTGTATACTGCTACCTGGACTCGTTTCGCTGCCCCTAATGAGGAATGTCCCCCGGGAGTTTCCCGCCAGCTGAAGCTGCTTCTCCGCTTCCTTTCTCGTCATCTTCTCGAAGAACCAGCTAAGTTAAGACACAAGAAAGTTGTAACCTGTTTCCATAACATTTAAAATAACTGACGCAGCTTCAGTACATTAAACTCGCACCATCAATTCCAAATGTTATTACTCCGTTACAAAGCAGGAAATCATAAACAAATTTCGGAACAAAGAAAACAAAATGAAGAATCGCTCACGTAATACTTCAAGCACGAAGGGGAACTGCCACGAGGAATAGGTTAAACATAATTTGATCAGATGTGAGCTATGTCAGGCAGGCAGTATGTACATCCTGCCTAACCAGGCAGTTGGATAATTCCGTCACTGAGGGGAAATTGGTTGTAAGGAGCAGCATCAGGCTTGGGGTACGGGCTGGCACGGGGCTGTATTGTGCCAGGTTAACCCCTCGGACGAGATTGGAAATGCCTCTCTGTCAGTTGCTAAGTGCTCGTTTCCTGCTGTAGTTGTCACTTTGCACTGTGCTTGCGATGCGTTGGATAACTTTCCAGACGACCAGACGATATCGAGGGAATATAACTTGTAACAGATCAGTTGGGTATTGCCTCTTGGTATTTAGTACAGTCAAAATATTCGCAAAGTCAGACTAGCCGGGAAAAGAGGAAAGAAATCATCTTTAAGACAAAAAAAGGAAATCACTGAAGACTGTTTTTGAACTTATACAACCATAACTCATTTTTACATCGTACGATTTTCTGAATCCTTTAAAGTCATGGTTCAGTTTTTAAATCAAGGTACCTCATTCGGTATCTTTGTACAGTAATAAAACAAAAATGTTATTCAATTACATTTGTCATCTCGATTTATAGAGCGCATTTTCTGGACAAGCGCGAGATAGTGGCATAAATTCTTAGAGACGATTTGCCAACTTACTCTTCCGCCTGAAGTACATCCGCCGGTTCGATGTAGTTTCTCGGCACATAACCTTCTCGCTTCGTCAGCATTGAGGTAGCCAACCACCAGTTGGGGTCGCTTTTAATTAAAAAAAATAATTTTAACATTAATCTCTCTTTATTGGCATTATGGCAATACATTTTGAAATGATCTGAACATAACTTACGTTTTATTTGTGATAATGAGTATCTCCCCCTTTCGGAAAGTGAGATCGTCTGCTGTCCTGGCTTCATAGTCATACAGTGCTTTGTAACGCTCACCAGCTGCCATAAGAAATGGAAGAGTCGATTCAAGTAAAAGGTGTGTTCTTTAATTTAACCAATCACAATTTTCCGCAAGAGCAGGTTAACTTGAACTTTTATGTATTCATGAATGTACTTTGGGTTCAGCCATGATGAAAATAATGTGCATTTGTCTTTAGCAAAAACACGCAACCTTCCTCCCAATAACAGTTCCATGGTTTTGTTCTCAAGAATTTCATTTCATTTTACTTTCTTGAAACTCGTTAACTACCGATTTGCTGGTGGACATTAGAGTGTAATTACTATCAACCAACATAGTCTGGGATTTCCCAGAGTCACATGATTTGAGCATGTCATCCACCATCCGTTTGAACCAAAGAGGAAGGAAGTTGCGTGAGAATATTACTCTACATACAGTTCACACACTTATCAAATGTGAAACTTCCATAAACTATGAGTCCAATAGTTTTATTATACACACAACTGTGACATTAAGCAATAAACTGGTTGCAACCGTAATGCGGAATTAAAAATTTCACAACCGCTAAACATCATTGGGCAGAGAAGAGTTTATTGCCAAAACGCCATATACGCCATCCTGTTCCCTTTTAGAATGCTGCTTTCTCCTGCCTGCCCAAAAGCAATTTCGACCAGTGATAGGCCCTATAGGCCTACTTAAAAGTTAAACACAACTTACGAATACAAAGAAGGGAAAAATTTAAGTTAGGAAACAGCTAGTATACCGTTTTTATTCTTTAAAGTTTCGTTACCGTGCAAACCTTTGACCTGTTTTCAGATGGATATATCGCGTTATGTCTAGTGACAATATGAATTCTATTTCCCTATATATAGTCTAATTCTGATAAGAAGAGCACTGTTAAGTTATAACAAGGAAAATGTTAGGCCCCAAGTCTTTGCTTTTGTTTTTTTTTCTTTGTTTTCCGAGGTAATTTGTAAAGTCTCAAGGACCTTATTAAGGTGTTCGACAATATTAAAGTACGAAGTCAGCTATGTATTTGTTGTAACACAGTAATATCTATTTTGGAAGTACTTTACACAATATAGGATTTATTTGTAAACATTTTCGCGTATTACATTGTTTAATTCTCCTCCCTTTTCCACGTCCATAAACCCTCATGCAAGATACTGTACTGCATAATACCATGCAGTACAACTGTACCGTCCAGTAATATCTTATGACTAAGCCCTTATTAAACAACTTCAGTACACGAGCCTGCAGGCCAAAATGAAACATTTCCGGCGCTATGTTCAACATGGCGCCCATGTTACCATCGGTACATTATCGTGACAGTTCGTGAATGCAAATGCGTAAAGCTCGTGATTTTTCCCCCAGAAGTTTCCCCTGATATATATTTTTCCTTGAAACAGATAGGCCTAAGTGCCTATTTCGCTTGCGATTGATGTGTGAAACAGTGTATATTAAACAGATCAGTGAATAAAAAAAAATATTGCGACTTTGATTTGCGTGACCTTTCATAATCATGCATTATATCTATCCATAATGTTTCGTATGTATTAAAATAACGAGAAAAAAAAATTTGCTTCGATTCAAAACCATTGATTTTAAACACATTTGTGATTATAAGAAAAGCTTTGTTATTGTATACATGCGGCGTATGAGGCTTTTCCATAGGCTTGCAACCTGTCTTGTAATTGAATTTTAACGGGATGGAAAGGAAAACACAGGAAGCGGGAAGTTAGGCCTGATCCCTCGGTGTAATAAAATACACTGAAGCTTATACACACGAGGAACAAATTGAGGAACATTCAGTAGACAATATGCCATGGCCTAAAATGATTCTGACATTGGGATGGGATCCACAATATAGGATGATCATATTTTTGCTAATCACAAAAACAACAACAACAACAACAACAAAACAAAAAAAATAAACCCACAAATATTTAACGAGTTGCTAAATATGTATGTACACGTTTCCCTTAAAGTTTCTCTGCGTATTATGAATGGAGCAGAAGTTGACGTTATTATAATGATATGGTTCCCCTTCCCAGATAGAGCGGCCGGGGTGAACCGCGCATGCGCGGCCGGATGCCCAGCAAAGGAGAGCAATTTCTCATTTCCGCCCTCACCCGTTGACCCCTTGAGCCGTCTCCCAGTGTCATGAATCGAAGCTGTCAGCGTGGGTAGGGGTTCTATCTATAGTCAGGTGGCTTAGATCTAATTTTCGTCAAGATCGTGACCGACTGGTCCAAAGCACCAAACTTGGCAGATAGATTCTTATAAACCTAGAGAAGATATTTAGAAGGGGTGACACCTGAAATTCTTTTAGGAAGGGTGCCTAATTTGATAAATCGTTAATCCCTGTCGTATTATATATTTATTCCCATATTTGGGTATATTTCTATTTTTTTTTTTTTTGAAAAGTGTATTTTGGGGATTCTTCTTACATATCTGTACTTAAATAACATTTTCCAAAGCATATAATTGACTGAATAATTATGAGGACATAGTAACGATCCAAAATGGCTACTATTATGCCCTAAAGTTGCGCGCATTTACCTTGTCTCCAGATATCATCAATTAGTCTTGCCAAACATCAGCATTGATGAACTTCAAATTCACCACGTAGCTTACTGGTACAGTTACCCTATTGAAACCTTATGCAAACTCATGTGAACAATGAGAACATTGTGATATTTAGCCCAGAAAACAAAAACTGGGAAAAAACGAGGTGTCCATAAATTTGGCTAACAAGTAGGTGGAGGGTTGCCTAACAAGGAACACTGTAACAAGTTCAAGGATATTCCTAAAATTATTGTTGAGAAAACGTTTTGGCGTAGACAAAATTATTGTTAACAACAATGATCTCTTATTTAGGGGGATTCCGTTGAACTTGTTCAAGTCCCCACGTTACCCTTCCCGTACTACCCCAATTTACAGATACCACATTTTCTCCCCTTTTTTGGTCTTTTGGGCTAAACATCAAGATGTTATCAATTTTCACTTGATTTCCCACTTATTTTTGTTAGGGTAACTATGCCAGTAAGTAACTTTGTGAATTTGAAGCTCATCAATAGCCACGTTTGGCGAGACTAGTTGATGCAATCTGAGGAAAAGGTAAATGCGCGTAACTTTAGGGTAAAATAGTAGCAATTTTGGTTCTTTACTATGTCCTCCTAATTATTCAGTCACTTATATGTTTTACAAAATGTTATTGAAGTAAGAATATGCAAGTAGAATCACCAAAATACACTTTTCAATAAAATTAAAAATTAAAAATATACCTAAATATGGGAATAAATATATTACACAGCAGGTATTAACGATTTATGCAAATTAGGCACCCTTCCCAAAGGAATTTCTGGTGTCACCCCTTCTAAATATCTTCTCTAGCGTTATAAGAATCTATCTGCCAAGTTTGGTGCTTTGGACCAGTCGGTCACGATTCCGACCATATGCCACCTGACTACTAGGGGGTGGAGGGGAAACGATGGGAGCACCTTGAACTCTTGGGAGGGGAGCATCCGTTGACTTAAGTCTTGGATTAATAACTGTGCTACCAAAGCATGTCCTCAAGTTCGAAACAAATAGGCGTAACTACAAGAGCCCTTGGGGGGGGGTGCTTTCGAGGCTCGTACACTTCTGTGCCGCGCTCAGAAGTGAAAAAAGGACCTTTGCGATATTTGCAACTACACATGTGATCAAATCTAACTGAATATCCCTCCAGAAAATGACCCAAGTGCTAGTCCCTGCATATTGGAACCCTGCAGCCTAGCTACACTCTATAGTAATGATGTAGAGGTGGATTCTGAGCGAAAACCATAAACGCAAAGTGACAAGATTGACAAGTAACAAGATTTAACCAAAAACCTGCATTGATCACTGCATTTTATCCTCTGTTAATTTTGTGAGCTTATGCCCCTTCTTGTGACTTGAATTGTGATTGAATGTGATTGACTTGTGATTGACTGTGATTGACTGTGATTGACTTATGATTGTCTACCACAAGACCACACAAGTCCAGCACAAGTCAGTCATAGTTGTCCAAGTCACAAGCTATTCAATTGAGATGAACAGTTCTGCATTCCTTTGGTTAGTGTTCATCCCCTGCTATATGTGACTGAACTTGTGAATTGACTTGTGAATTGACTTGTGATTTACTTATGTCCGAACTTGTGAGGACTCGACTGCAGTACTGGATTGACGTATATATGATTGACTTGTGATTGGCTCGTAAATAACCTGTGATTAGTTTGTGATTTGACTTGTAATTACTTTACGATCAACTTACCTGGTCTTGTACTAGGCGAGTGCATAATTCCCATCTGATCATTACCCACGCCAGCTGAGATCATAACCCCAACGGATCCAGCACCGCCTCCTCCAACGTCTCCACCAACATGGTTCTGCCGGTCCTGATCGCCTCCTGCCCCACTACTTCCAATCCCAGCACCGCTACTCGTAGCAGCATTTACGGAGTCTTTACGAGCCTTGCCCTTCTTGGGCTTTTTGTCTTTGTCCTTCCGGTCCTTTCTGTCCCGGCCAAGTTTAGCTGAGGATACGGTGATGGTTGAGGTGCTGTGGTCATAGCCGTCTGGGCCGTCAAGTCCGTTACTATGGGAGCTTTCCTTGTTTCCCATGCTGGGTCTGTGGTAGGGACACGCCCTAACTGACTGTCAGATTCGAAGGAACGAAGAAATTAGCTCCTTATATAGTTCTCCTTACAAAGTGATCCGTTTGCCTCTGTTAAAAAATAGACAGAAATGGGGTAAAAGTATCCATTAAACTTTCGTCGTAAAACAATAAGCATTTACCTGATCCCGGCTTTAATTGTAGATTTTGATGGGCGTTATATTTTCAGTAAAAAAAACAACCGAACAAAAAAGAGATCGTAGCGAAAATTTTTAAAAAAGTAAGAAAAAAATGTAAATCTAAGAATGAGTACAATTCTGTAGATTTGGTTCGTTTCGAAAATAAATTTAAGAAAGAAAAATGTATCTTCCATTTGTCTAGATATCGCGATTAAGGTGCATAATCTTTTTAGTACATGTATATTCGACGTATGCAAAAAACGAAACATAACTTTAGTTGCGGAGAAATCCAAACGCAAGGCAAGGCCAGTCAAAATCCAGGGCCACACATGGCACATTGGGAAACATTTCTGTTAAGGTTCCTTAAGAAGACCTCATTAAGAGCTATCGAATATGAAATTAAAACAATTATCGTCGTATGTGACCTTATATTATTTGTTTTCGACAGAAATCTAAATTTGTGTTGGTAATGCTGACTAAAAGGACAAGCAGAGGGATTTATACTCAAGGTTGTTTCATAACAATCACTCTTATTAAACAATTTAGGCGCTTTTCTTGCATTATCTTCGAATTTAATGGATAATTTGTATCTTTGTTTTCCTTTCAGTATAATTACTGCGAACTTGTGTCGTAAGGAAATGTTATTAATAAAACCGCTACCGACTTGTTTTCGTCAAAAACAAAACACAACGGATGCATGAATTGTGAGATCAACTTCCTGGTTGACCTACTGCGTCAGAGGAAGAAAGGGACTTTTTATTATTGAGACAAGTTGATATTTACATGTGAGTCTGCCTTTGAATAAAGAGGGCCTAAAATGGTTTACTTATACTCAGGAATATTCAACATTCCGCACAATTTAGACACTCGTGAGTGTTGTTTGAAGCTTTGGATGGCGGAGTTGTAAATAGGGGTTTGCGGGTACACCATGGACTTTTAATAGTGACGACGAACAGAGTGTTCAGTTCGAAACGTCTAGACACTAGTCTCACCACCAGCTCTCTTCAGAAGCCAACACTAAGTCTTCCGCACAAAAGAGATGTGTTCATGATGTACCGCGGCAAACCTACTTTCCTATTTACCACTTCACCATGCAATCTTAAATTGTTTCCAGATTTTGGGTTCGGGCGGGGGGGGGGGGCAATAGGGCATTTTTTTTTCTGGAGAAGCTGGCCACATTTCTTCTTTTTTTCATAAAAATAATAAAAGGTGGGGAGGTATTGTGGGGTTCATTGAACAAAATATCAACATGTCGCCAGGGGATGGGACAGAGCCAGAAACCGGTAAATATCGTAGGCTGTCGTGTCTAGTATTTGGGATGGACGCTGATCCATGCATAACAACTATCAGCCACTCATGTCTAACTCCGCCCCCCTCCCACGGAATTCCGGCATAAGGGGTCAGTAGTGCGCATCAGATGGGTACATCTGCTGGCCTGCTTCCGAGCCGGTTGCCCGGTATATAAACTGGAAGCCTTCGTTACCGTACCGGCGCCTGCACCCTTCATAATAGGTCGCTGCGATCAAGGCAGTTATCTGTAATCTTTTAGTCGCAGTGAGCTTGCCCTGTTCTTATGTGATTATTGGCTACATTTTGTGAATGCAGACTAGATTTTTATGTTAACCTAAACTTCTAGATTTTCTTTTCTCAGAAACCTCACAAATCATCGAAAACCTAAAGCCCTTATACATTTTGAAGGACAAGTTAGGGTTCAATTATATTTAATTCAAGTCCGGTTTATTGGATAAAAAAGACACCACCAGATAAATAGTCTAAGACTTGAATCATTTGGTGTACTAAAATTACGATAAAAATTCATTAACTTCGTTAATTATTAATTTTTATTATTCCAGAATTCAAATTAAGCTCAAATTAAAGTTTAAATAAATCAATGAAATAAACATTAAAAAAAAAGTAAGAATAAAACATCGTTACAAAGGGGGGGGGGGGTGTTACATGTGTTAAATATGAACAATGCTGACAAGAGCAAGAAGGGCTACAGAAATAATAGCGTATGAAGACAGCTACAATACAACTATGGATTGGATTTAGAATTAGCCTAATGAATTATGAACATGCTGAATTCAGCATCTGTGCTATGGATTGGGTGTAACAGTTTCTTAAACCCTAGCCTACATCTAGGTATTTTGCTTGAGTGCATTTCATGCCAGGGTCAGAGATAAAACAACACCGGAAGGTCGAGATGAAGTTGTTTCCCCTGAAAAGCTACTACATCATAACAACATCAAACAGTCGTATACTGCGTTAATTATATTTGTCAGCAGCCCACATTTCATATTTGCTACTAAATCATTTGGGGAAGTTCCGAAACAGAAAGTGCGGGTGTGATTCAGTCCTGTACAACATTGTGTAATGCAATAAGAAATACGAAGTGTGCACATCACGCTGCGTACGGTCTTATAACACAATACATATGTACAAGACCGACACTTGTCTTGTATCATTATGTACACATCATTAAAAAATATCATCATCCAGGCGATTCATGTAGTAGGATTTACAAATCTCAAACTTAAGGCAATTTTAGTAACTTAACCGAATTCAATTGAACGGGTGATTATTTATTTCACAATAGTGCCATATCTGATAGCTGCTCTTATAAGCTTATATCAGGCCTCACTTTGTTCACGATTTGCTTAAACACACTTCTGATGTTAAAAGCGCAAGTCTTCTGTCCCAACAACCATTCTCGGAATGTGAACTCGAACAATAGAACTCAAATTATATCCACTGGACTACTTATAGACTCACCGTGCTTTGGGCGTTGTGGCATAGACCTTCGGATTCCCTGTGCTGCAGCAGTTTTCCAAACCGACAACTCTGCCGATGTAGGCCTACTTTGTCGCTCGGCCCAAACGCACCATCATGCTAGATCTCAGTTCAGACAGAAAGACCAACCCTGGGCCTATTTCTGGCCGTGATTTAAAACGGGGAACTCTCCGGGGCTACTCAGCGCTACGCATCCGCCCCAGCCGCGCTAGCAAGGAAACCCTGCCTAAAAATAATACCGTCCACGCTAACATTTTGTGGACATCTGCTCAGTAGCAAACACAACACACTGTATGACCTACGCAGACTTCAGAAATAGAAATAAGCCTGAAAGTCGACTCAACGCTGGCACGGGTGGGCCACAGTTTCACTTCGCTAAATTACCACTTCCTCGTGGTGACGTCACCCCGCTTATTTTAATATTCAGATTTAATTTTGCGGCTGCTGGCTGGAGGTTACGACAGACTAGAAGACCCCGGCTTGATGTAGCCAATATTATGCCAAGCAAACGAACGACAGAAATAATCAGACCTAGATTTCTTTCTCTGTTACTGTCTACCGTCTCATTCAGATCTCGAGATGATTGAAATTCTTGGTGTATTCTTACAAGAGCCAAGTCTTTCGACACGCAGACTCTATAGCGGGGGACGTTGAACGGTGTTATATAAAACTTGGTCCTGCTCGGAATCCGGTAACTCTACCGGAGCAGGGTACGGCGCACGCGCAGAACCTTGGACTGCATGTACTATAATTTTACTAAGAATATGCTCCATGATCCATCAATCTAATTCACACGAACCACTACTTCAACAAGCTTCAACTTAACACCAGCCTATTTCGTATCAAATTCGACACCGTCTTCACGATGGGTTATTAGGACTGAACAATGTAATCATTCCCCCCCCCCCCTCGTTTTACATTCCGACTCGACATAAGGAACTGCACACAAAATCGAAAGCGGGAAGTGACAAAATTACCTGTTCATGTTTCAACCCAATTCGTGGATGCTTTACATTTTGAAGAAAAGAAAATAACTGAAAAGTTGTACGCACTCTATCTTCGTGTCGAATAATATTATTCATCGTCATTGAAATATAATGCCGAAAGGAGCATATCACGACTTTTAGATATTACCGCTTTCGTCTTCATTCGCATTCAAAACAAACAGTTTGAAGTCACCAATGATTTGTGAGTCAAAGTTAGATAATGTTATTGTAATGTAAGAGGGAAACGCAACTAAAGCAACCAAAAGAAAACCATGATACCGAAACGACTTTCGTTTTCATTTGCATTCGAAACAATCAGTTTCCAGTCACCATTATACTTGGTTAGCATACTTTCATGTAATGTAGGGAAAACAACCAAAAATGTACGCCATGAAACCAGAGATAAACCACATTATAACTTGTTTCTTGAATATTATAGTATACAAATGACATTGTTTACAACGATTAATGATTATATTTTTATAATAGTGTGCTCTTGGGTATTATTTTCGTCCATTCTGCACACTTAGCTCAGTTCATAGAGAGTACTGCATAACAATAGTATCTTTCATCTACATTCAAAATCTATTGCATAGATGACTATGGAGTCAAATTGTTTCATGTACATCAATTACAGATTGTCAGTACAGCGTTTCAATTGAGTCGTTTCCTTACTAGATAGGGTGGCAACAACCCTGCACATATTTGGCTTCGGGGTACAACGCCCGTTCACAGACAAATTCTGCTTGAACAAGAAGCCATTTTGTGCCCATAAGAGGCTAGTTCTCGCAATTCTGTTTGTACTACACAAACAGAAGTAAGTCACCTGTCTACATTACTTTGTATTTGTACAAGCTGCCAGATTCTGATTACAAAAAGTAAAACTACAATAAATGACCGAAAATTAATACGCTGTTGACTTTTGAACACAATTTTAAAACATTTACTTCAATTTAAAGGTAGGGTAGATCATTTGCAGCTATCCAACAAAGTATTTCTGGCATGCTGCCATTTTAAAGAAAATAAATAAAAGAATTGTCAAAGATGCCTCCAGTGACGCATTCTTGGATATTTATACATGTAGTTGGTAGCGCGCGGTTGCTATTATTCGTCAGTTCAGCGTGTGACAATCGGCTGAATGAGAACGTGTCCCGAACGCTGATTTCGGACGCAATTCAAAACATGACTTTCATTGTAACCACGATCCTAGGATATTATTGTTTCCAGAATATGCAGCATTCACAGAGCTAAAGCTACTTCGTGTTAGTTGTTATAGCGCCCGTCTTTACAAGTTTGAGCGTTTTTTTGTTGCTTCAAACGAAAACAAAATCAAAAATGACAAATGATCTACCCTACCTTAAATGCAATAAAACGGTAAGCGTATTCTGGTTTAAAATATGACAATCTGACAGAGTTGGTTACTAAAGAGAAAAATCTGTGCTTTTGAATTCGAAACGTTCAGTCTAATAACCCTCAAAATAACAGTTATAATGTCCATATAACTTAACATAACCGTCTTATATACGAACAAATGCTTATAAAATGTATGTACAAATTTCTAATTAACTTTTAAGGCAATGGCAAAACTGTGCAAAGAAAAAGAACCAAGAAAATAAGATTTATTTCAAGATTCAACCTTAAATTGTGGTTACCGTAGTAAAAAGCGACACGTGTAAAAAATACCACACGCCCGAGATTAACATAATTGTGTGGCAACATCAGAAAGGCCACTCCTAAACTTACAGGCAATCTTTAATACATTCAATATATGACACATATCATTATTAAAAAGTAACGAGTCAAGTGAACAAATAGAAGCGACATTATCAAGGCCAGAAACTTCTAATTAGTATTTATAACGAGTATTTTCTATTGTTAGCCACCGTTCAGTTGAACCGAATAAAAAAAAACATGCCTTACCAATTCTAAAATTCATTTATATTGGATTGACGTGTCTTCAACCTATTACGATTAAAACATTTATTTCTTAGTGAGTATAAAAAAAACCTCTTAAAACTCAAAAGAACAATCCCTAATCTTGGACTCATCCACTTAAAAAATTTTTTTTATGTTTCAAATGAAGCTTTCTTTTTACATTTCATCTAAATTTATTGCTTACTTATTTCACAAAATATCAAGACACGTTCATATAAACACGAAATCCTCACTTCACTTTGTCTTTCATATACATGAGTTAGTTCATAAGAAAAAAGGTTGGTTTTAAAAATGTACATCTACTTTTGTATATAGACAAAGCAACGTTTGAACAAAACGGGTATAGCAGAAAAAAATGGCACATTTAGAGTTGAAACTTAATGGATAAAGGAGGAGCTAGGCCCTATGTTAAAATGGCACACTAATTTGAATCAACATTATTTCCAACGATAGCATGTTATTGGTTTTATACAGATCTGCTATCTAAACCATTTGGACTGGTTTTTAGTATCAGTACAGAGTAGTGTCGTCGTTGAGTTCATCACAATTCCCTACAACACTGGTGCAGAGATGCCCGAAGTTTGGCACAATGTTTTTTTTTTTAAAGAACGGCACTTGAATATTGACCCCAGGGTCTAATTTCAAGGAGAAGCTAAGAACACAATAATGTCAAGCAAAGAAAATATCTGCTGAGCAAAAACAAGTTAGCAGCCGGAAATTGATTGAATGTCTACAGGTTGTGACAAGTGCTCAGCTAGTTTTTTGCTACCCTCATCAATTTGCTAAACATATCAACTCCATGCAAGTAGGCCAAGGTTTAGTTTGGGTAGGTTTGAGGTATCACATTTTCTGTCACGTCAAGAAACAATATATACCACAGTTTTTCGACTCTTTTTATCCGTATAAAGTTGCCTAATTTATATAGAAATAGCGTCACCACTAGTGCGATCAGATGTCCTCCCCCATTCCGTCTTCAAGCCCTGCCCCTTCCGACGTCATGGCACTGAAGCTCAAGACTGGTTCCTTCATCTCATCAAACTCCTTTTTGGGTTTCCAGATGGCCGAGGTGGTGGCTGGGTTACCGCGGCCAATACTGCACGACAAAAAAAAAGAAAAAAAGGACAGAGTAAAGTAAGTAAGATGGAAATGGACTCGGTGAAGGAAACGTAAACGTAGTCTTGGTTCAAGACTATAGAGGGCGCTATCAACAGAATATATCAAAAACAGTTTCGGGACTTATGGCACTTTTGATTAAAGAAACTCTTAGTACATCCCATGCATCCGCATTAGCTTGAATGAAGAAAAGACGACATTAGCGGACACAGATATTCCCAATACCAACAAAATGATTCCCCCGGATTCTCTATTTATAAAGAAAAAAGACACTTTAAATCTTACTTCTTATTTCTTCCCTTTAAGTACAAGGCAACACAGGCAATCAGCATCATGATTACAGCTCCCAGTATGATGCCAATGATGAGCATGACACCACCGGCTGGACCAGCTGCAATAACAAAAGAGAAATTATTGGTTTAATATTGATGGAATTTCATTGGATTAATTGACTCATTTAATTGAGTAGATTAATTTGAATGATTAATTGATTTTATGGTTGAGTGACATATTTAATTTACAATGATTTAACTCTAAATTTGTTTGGTTTTATTTTGTTTTATTGACTTGATTGATTTGAACGATTACATTTGAATCGACTGATTTAATTGATTAATATTTTTATAACATGACGGAATTTTGGTGTCAAAAGTGCGAAAAACGTCTCGGAAAACTAAGACGGGTTTATGAGATTGAAAGGACTTGCTTACCTTGAGCGCCAACAGACGGTTTGCCATCTCCACCGATCGAGCAGTTTGAAATTCCTAAGTGATAAAAATAATGTATTGTTCATACAAAAGACAGGAAACTTTTCAAATGACGGATGTGCAAATTTGACTTAAAAAAACGTTCACTAAAAGACGGTATTTCATATTTGCATAACAAACCTCTGTTTATTTCAAAGTTCTCTATCTACAAAACAGTGTTTTAGTAGAGTCCATCACAAGCACAATCACAAGTGCAATCGCAAGTGCAGTCACAAGTGCAGTCATGAGTCCAGTCGCAAGTCCAGTCACAAGTGCAGTCATGAGTCCAGTCACAAGTCCATCACAAGTCCAGTCACAAGTATTATTACTGGTAATCAACCATTAAACGGACTGCTTTAGTCACAGATGATTCGCGTCGCTTGTGATCTGACCGAGGACTGCATGATTTGTAAGGACTTGTGACAGACTCGACAACGAGGCCCCCAAAACTCTTATATTTCAGAAAAGTCAGTTTCACCTCATTCTTTGATTTCTCTTCTACTTTTGATAGTTGTAAAATAATCACTCACTTTGGCATTCTGGGGTTGGCCTGGACCACTCGCAACCCGTGACACACTGCAGTGTTTTACTACCCATCAGTTCATAGCCGGCATCACATTTGACATCAGTGGTAGTCAACGGTTCGTAGGATGATCGGTTCGGGCTGAAGCTACCGTGCCTGATGGGTCCTGGCCAATCACAACCAGCTGGAGAGATCAGAAGACAAGAACGTTATCCCTCACTCAGATAACGAGGTTGACAAATCACTTGCTTCGTCTCCAGATTTTGCTTAAGAAGATTTAAGGCCTCTGACTTTAAGGACACTTTTAGGATCCAAGTGGGTCCACACAATATTGAGTCAATCAACTGACATATCAACAACAGCTACTGATAGCTCAACGATGATAGGTTTAGTCTGTCCAGATGAACCCTGTTTGACGAACACTTTTTTTCAAACGCAAACTTACCCTTGCATTGTACCACAGCTTCAAAGACCAGTCCATTGCATGTATATCCGCCATAAGTGTGCACGCAATCTCGTAGCCGGCTCTCAGACCCTGTACAGTTCATGCTGGAGAAGTGCATCTTGCCCTGGGTACGAGCTGGTTGAAGGCCTTTCTGGGTTCCTTGAGACCGATTCAAGGTAATTGGCAATCAGTGATTGGATAATGGAATCCAGAGTTGTAGTTGAGTTCATTACATGTTGAATCACAAGTCAGACAAGAAAAGCAGAAACTGAACAATGACTAAAAAGAAGAAATGACTTGGTCACCGCTCAGTGGAGTACCCCCATTATCACTTGACATTGGACGACATGTTCATGGACTTGATATTGTCCTGTGATAGTGATTGGCTTTTGTAATTCAATTAGAGGGCTTGGGTCAAACTCTGGTAAATAGACTGTAGGTCTTGCATACCTTTTGCAGCACAGTATCCGAGTTGCTTGCAGGCAACAGCGCCCTCCTTTGGCCCCCAGTTGTCAGCACATATGGAACCCCATTGGCTGTCCACTAACAACTCGACAGCACCGAATTCACGCTGATTGCCACTAACCAGGCGGATATCTACATGGAATAATACAAACGGGCAACGTGTTATTTTGGACAATAAAAATAATACATAGCCAAGAATCAGCCAGATAAATTAATGAATAGTATAAGGAGGATTTGTTTTTAATTTCTGAGCTCTACATGTATGTCTGCCAAAAGGAACCCGGTCTAGAAAAAGAAATTATATAAACGGATGGTTTTTTGTCTTGAAGGTATTGGATGTTCAAACTTTGAACACCATTTCCACCAGCACTAATTAAGAGCACCTTCCACCCACATACCGCCAATGTTACCTCTCACCTTTACATAGCACCCCCGCCGTCTCGCCTCCGGGGCAGGTCTGAGCAGTGAACGGCTTGGATGCACGTGGGCACTGGAGCAGCAAACTCTCTGATCCATTGCACTGCACCTCCCCCATATTGATCAGCTGGTCCGGGCTGGATAGGTAAAACTTCCTGGTGTCCATAGCACTTGTGTTGAACAGCTGCTGACACACCACCTCGGCATCCTGTAGCAAGATTTCACACACAAAAAATCAACTTATGACCAATACCCTGGTGTAGCAGTGTAAAACAAAGCGTCAGAACAGTGTGAGTTGTGATGACAAAACTTTGAGAGTTTTTAGCCAAACTAAATCATTTCTCCATTCAATCAATCATACATTTCTTTTTTACCAAATAATTGATATTTATACCTTTTTGTCCCAGTATTTGCCGCAGATGGCTCCCCACTCCCCTGAACTGCTGAGGACCTCCACCCGACCAGTCAACGTGTTGGTGGATACACTACCGTTTTCATGCGTCAATCTCAGATCTACTCGACGAAAGTTAGTTTAATATCCAACAAAGTTAATCAGAACTATTCACTCATTACACAAAATCAGTAATTCGAGCAAAAGCAAAGCAAAGCTGCACTTGCATATACAAGAATATTAATAAAACATTTAAATAAAATAACAATAAGTAGACAAAAAGACTACCTCATTAACTAGGTGAAGCATAATTGAACCTGGATCAGAGAATATAAAGACTCGCCTTTCCTTGGCAACTTCAAAACTCTGCAGAATTCCGCAGAGTCTGAAGGCCTTTTAATTAAAGCCGTGGAAATCAACAAACCTGTGCAGATGACTCCAGCATCCTCGTAATGTTGGCAGTTGTGGCTTCCCCAGCCTTCATGTCGACAGTCTTCTATCAGATCCTCGTCTCCGTTGCATGCCAGTCCGTCAATCAGGATGGGCCCTGTTCCCTGGCCGAAGTTAGCGCAGCACTTCGCTGATAGAGCCTTCAGGGAGGAGACAAGGAAGGAGAAGAAAACAAGATGAGAAAGGCTGAGGCAGTGGTATTCTCCATCACTTACTTTACACCTGTGGGTGGGTTGGAATCCAACCTATGCCGACAAGTGGATTGGGCTTTCCGTCCCTACCTCAGATTTGTATGCAAGACCTCATTAATTATCAACAACTGAGTCGCAAGTCATCTAGTCCCAAGACAAGTCATCAGTTATTCAACTGAGCTATGACAAGGCATTCCTGAATTTACAGCCCTGATTTGTAACCGACTTGTAATTGACTTGTAAAATGGACCTTAGAACGACTCTGGCCTACCTGATTCCATGGCTTTCCCACGAATCCAGTTTTCGCCAGACCACTGAAATTGAACCTTTCATTATCATCTTCCCTCTCATTCTAGATTTCTCTAAGATGCAGATTTTCTTCATGTACCTCATGACTGTGCTTGCCCCTGCCCCAACAATGATCTAACCATTGAATATAAATGGTCTCACCTCATAATTTCCTAGCTGCGTGCAGACAACTTTCGCGTCCAGTAAATCCCAGCCGTCATCACAAACCGTGCCCCACTGACCATCATGGAACACTTCAACCCGACCTTCTAAGGGCGTCCTTCCCCCAGCAAGTCTCAATCCACCTGCATGGGACAGGTAATGACAAAAAAAGATAATATATCCGATATAAAAGGAACACTGATGAAATTGTTTCCTTTCTTGCTATTGACCCAATACTATATTTTGGATATCTTTCCATTTTTGGCGGTACAAACAAACTTGAATTCAAACTTGAATTCATGTACATGTACCCCAAAATCGTGTTCTTACACGCCCCTTTCGCTTAAACATAATTATACACATACCCCTGCAGACAACTGCAGCATCTGCATCATCACAGGTGTAGTCACCCCATGGATTGTGCGTGCAATCAAATATGTTGCTCTCCAACCCTGTACACTTGAAGTTGGACAAGAGGATAGGGCCAGAGCCATTCTTGAATGAATGGACTGATTCGGCAGTGCTGTTATACAGCTGCCGGCACAGCACGTTGGCATCGTTCAGGTCCCAATCAGTGCCACAGATGCGGCCCCAGACGCCATTGTAGACAATCTCCACACGGCCCTTCGGAAGGTTAGAGGAAGAATCATCCAAAGCCAGCCGAATTTCTGAAATACAGGAAACCCATTTAAAAATACTGGTTGTACCTCACACAGTTTAATACAAAAGAGGATGTTGTGGGTTTAAGTCTCATAAGATTATTTGTGGATTGTGAGAGTGGTCTAAGAGAGCCTGCTGGATTTCTGTCCGAAGGATACAGGATAATTTGGTAAGAATGGGGACTTTGGCGAGAATTTCTAGTCAGTAACTTATAATATTGAAATTATTCACATGGCCAGTTAGCCTCAAATAAACATGTACAAGGAATGTCTGAATGAGAAGCAGGTTTGAGCTTTAATTTCAGGACTTACAACCCAAACAAATTATACAAATTTCAGAAGATTGAAGTAGTTATGACCATGGGCGTCGCCAGGAGTTTTTCTAGAGGGGGGCAAAACATATTTTTCCCAAAAAATTCCTGTATTTCTCTCAATTTATCAGTTTTAGAGGGGGCCAGGGACATTTTGCCCCCCCCCCCAAACTCATTAAATTTACACCACTATGACTTCGCACCTCTCTTTCTTTTCTTTTTTTCTCTTTTTGTTTTCCTTCCTTTTTTGTTTTTTTCTTTCCAGGGTGTGGGGGCAATTGCCCCCCCCCTTGCCCCCCCCCTCGCGACGCCCATGGTTATGACTCTGTAGATGGTTAATAGCCACATCCCTACCTCTACAGACTACGCCTGCAGACTCTGAGCCCCCGCAGTTATGTGATCCCCAAGAGGCATGGTAGCAATCCTCTATCCGTCCTTCCTCCCCCTGGCAAGCCACATCATCCAGTATGATTTCCTGGGCCATCTGACCATACTTGGCACAGCAGGTGGCAGCTACAGCCTCATAGTTTCCCAACTGGCGGCAGACGACCCGAGCGTCGTTGATGTCCCAGTTGTCGTCACAGATGCTGCCCCAGCGGCCATTACGTAAGACAATGACGTTGCCCTCCAGAGGGTGGGAGCCACCCACAAGTTGGACCGTCGCTGCACAGAGAATCAGCAAAAAAGGGTTCACAGACGTTGACATGATCTTGTAACTATGGACGCTACGCAATATCAAGACATATATTTCAAAAGCCATAAACACACAATATGTAGTCTGGTAACTTTTTTTGTTGGAAAAACTGTTTCTATTTAGCACAATACTGTGATTACTACTTAGAAGTTGCATGAATTTTTTTTTGGGGGGGGGGAGATTTGCATTTTATTTTGCATATTTATCCTGGGTTTGTTTTTACTTGTTTTTCTTGTCCATCTAATTATGCTAATGTTTTTACTCTAGTTCGATTTTGACTGTTTACTCTAGTTCGATTTTGACTGTTTTGCTCTTAAGAGTTTTTCTAGGTTGATTTAGTAAGCTCTACTTCCTTATCACTGTTAGTTTTTGCGGGCACTACAGTATTTCCTTTTTTTAATTGTGTTTTTCTTCAGTATTGTATTCGGTAATTTGTCTTTTGCATATTTTTCTTTCTCCTTGGTTTGCTAATACTTGCCCTCCTTGTGACTTTGTTTGTTTGCTTATAAAACAATTTCCGGGGGATTTTATAATGGATTTTTCTTATGGATATTTAATGATTTTTATTTTTTAGAAATTATTTATACTGCATAATACCTGTTTTTTTCCGTCTGACACATCTTTCATGACAGCTTTTACAAACTTTTGTCTAGACCAGGACAAATTTTCTTATAGGAAATAGATTTTTAATTATATAAAATAAATAAAAATAAATAATAATAAAAAAAATGCCAAATGTTGCAACTGGTTGATAAAACCCTTTCAAACTCACCCTGACATTTTGCACCAGCGGCCTGTCCGCCTGAACAGTCCACAACACCCCAAGCTTTGTGTGCACAGTCCTGTATCCTACTCTCATTACCAGTGCACACCACATTGTCCAAGACCACCCCAACATCTGCTGGGAACCGTTGACAGCAATCCCCCTCTGCCAGTGGGTAGTTGCCAAGCTGTCGACAGGCTACCTCCGCATCTTTAGCATCCCAGGACTCTGGGCAGATGCTTCCCCATTGGCCGTTGTTAAACACCTCCACCCTACCCTCAATGTGTGTATTACCACCGACTAGCCGGACAGCAGCTGTAACAAAGAAATATTAACAATATGTTCACTTTTAACTCTTTACATATGGCGAACCGCTATGGTTGGAATGGTAAAATAAGACGAATAAAATAGTTACGGCACCCATTTGGGCTGCAAGTGAAGACTGCAATTTCCCGAAATGTCAATTGGTAGAAGATAAAAGCCATTAACCTGTAGAAGAATAATAAACTCCTTACGTGTGCAAATGACCCCGGCGTCGTTGGAGTGCCCACACTCGCCGGCATTACCCCAGCCGGAATTTGGACACTGCTCAAGGGTAGCCTCTGTGCCGTCACAGTTGACGAATGACATGTGGGTGGGGCCCACCCCACCCCCAAACTGGGACCCCCTTGTGGCCTCCTGGGCTGCGTAGCCACCAAGCTGGTTGCAAACCACTACCGCATCTTGGAAGCTCCAGCCTTTGTCGCACACGCTGCCCCATTCGCCATTGTGGAGGATCTCCACGCGACCTTGCATGGGGCCATTGCCGCCGACCAGACGTATTGGTCCTGAAACAGCGTAGGAAAAAATAAATAAACGAATACAGGCTTTGAATGGATGGGAGTCGAACGTGGACGCACTGTGTAAGGTTACTAACTTATCAAGACACCGAGTTTGAGAATAATTTGAGGCATAAACTTGAAATTTGACAGCAGTTTACAAGTTGGGGATCATTTCCCATCGTTAATTCAGTCGTATATTTTTCTGACAGATAAGTGGCATAACGGATGGGATCTTTCTACTCTCTCAATCTTACAAAACCTTCCAGACCTCCAACTGGAATTCTGAAAGATTTGGAAAAAATAAGTAAGATTAATTAATTTGGTAGAATCATAGACGTACGTGTACAGATGACACCTGCATCCCTGCTATGCGTGCAGTCCGCACTGACGTTCTTCCAATCACCGTGCTCGCAGTACTCCACTCCGTGTTCATCCCCCATACAAGAGACCATATCTAAGAGAATCTGAGCCGTGGATGGAGGCCCGAAGCTGACCTCACTGGAGGAGTTCGCTGAGGGGTAGCCCAGCTGCCGGCAGACCACTGAGGCATCCTTCAGGTCCCAGTCTGAGTCACAGACTGTGCCCCATTCACCCTCGTGGAAGATCTCTAACCGGCCCTGTAGGGGGTTGGGACTGCCCGCTAATCGGACTTTGCCTGGAATGATGAAGGTAATGTTGCTGAAATAATTAATACCGTTTCGGTTTACGGGAACACCATGTGGTAATAACTATTGCTTGGAAGATATTTAGTTCTGAAAGGAACTTGGCCTGCTTATTATCACAATTTATCTAAGTTGAATTCTGTTACATTTTGTTAAGTTTTTGAGTTCATTATATCGAGGAAAATACTGAATTATTTGGATCATTCTTGAGTGACCTAATTCTCTTATTTTGGTTAAGATCCCTCTAACTGAATTTGGCTATCTTGTAAATTTTGTAAATAATTTAATTCCACATTTTGTTATTTTTTTTTTAATTAAAGTTAAACTTTTGTTCTTGAAGTTAAAACTGCTTCTCCTTTGCTTTATTTATTGGGTTTAAGCCAGAACCATCTCATACTTAAGGTTTTGAGTAAGTAGTTGACAACCAATATGAAATCAATTTCAGGCTTCTTAGGGAGCACTGATCTAACACACGGCACATCCGTACCATTGCAAACCACTCCAGCGTCTTCAGTATGTGCACAGTTATGCTGCTCCCACCCCCTATGAGGGCAATCGCCTATCCTCGTTTCGTCTCCAGTGCAGGCAAGATCGTCTAGTATAATCACTCCTGTCCCCTGAACAAAACACAAACAGAGGAGAAAAATACATAAACCTTTGTCGCACAAAGATTGACCAAAAGCTCATTTTTTCCCCTATCAAATTTCTGAAAAAAAAGCGATGGATTGCTCAACAGTGCACAACGCACTGTTGCATGCACTGTAGCTTGGATGCTTGGAGAAGATTAACGTACAGGTTGTGATCACAAGTAGACAAGCCTATAATCTTCTAGATGGTCTTACGGCTCTATATCAAGCAGGTGTGGTTGCCCCCCCCCCATACGTACCTGACCAAAGGAAGCGCAGCACCTTGTTGAATTGGCCGAAGCAAAGCCCAGCTGTTTGCAGAGAATCTGCGCGTCTTGCATCTCCCATCCGTCATCGCATACCGTACCCCACGCACCATTGTAGAAGACTTCAACACGCCCTTCTGCTGGCGAGGCCCCGCCCACTAATTGTACATCGCCGTTGCTGGGAGTGCGGGGGGGCTTGGCAATCACTGCATCAATAGAAATTATGAAAAAATATTAATAACGACTTACTTAACTTAACTTATTACTTAACTCAGTGGCGGAGTAACACTTGAATTTCGCGGTAGCTCGTCAGGCGTACAAAATACTGACATCATCAGTGTATACTCGCATAAAATATTTCACGGTGCAGAAATCAAAATGATAGCGTACAGATCGTTTCGCGATCATTCACCTTATGCAATTTAGCTATTTATATTGTAAATTTCCCGAGTTAATACGCATGCTCACCGGAAAATCAGAAGGGAAAAAGCGACCTTGGCCAAAAATAGTTAGAAACCACCCGAATAGGCGCCAACAGGTCATTATACAAGCTGGCCGTTTATCTTTGAGGATGTCCGCACTCCTGCGCTTGGTAGATCTTGCCTAAATTACACAATTTTATAAGTGCACTTTTCGTAATTATGGCTTAAAGGACATCTGGCAATGATAAGAATTAATTTCCTTTACTCTTGAAACCTACACATACACAGAGGTCAGAAAGAACGGGTAGGTTTTCACGGGACGACAGTGACACTTGTACGTGAAAGTTGGCAGTAGTCCAACCTGAATCCAAGGCCTAAAGAAATACTAAACTTGAAAAGCCACGTTAAAAAAACAGTGGTTTACGAGACGAATAGTCCGTGAAGGTCTCAATCAAGCTCCGTCATGTCCACAAAATTTACTTTCTGAAAGAACAAAACCGATCATGTGGCACAATGTACACCCTTTATATGCTGTATACTGTTGTTGCATTGAAGTTTTTTTAATGGCTGTCATACGGTGAACAAAAGCGCAACAAAAACTCCTGGCGCTTAAATGGGTCGGATATCCCTTCACGTCCTTCCTATTCTGTAAGCAGCAGATAGATAAGAATGCCATTACACTCGTCTCGCTCTTCCTGACTCAGGAAGTTAAACAGGAATCTCAGCGTGGTCATTTCTGCCAAGTTGTTACCCGCCTATAGGGCTTTGACCTTGGTAGGTCTTTGTCCTTACACAGTGGACACTAAAACAATGACCGCAAACTATTTAAAAAAAAAAACTCTTCGGTACGATTTTCGGTGACTCCCCAAAATATAAAATTAAAGAAGGCGTTGTTTTTGCATTGTTTGTCTTTGTCCAACATCACACCCAGCCAGCTAGAAACTAGAAGGGAATTTAAGTTCGGCATGCAGGCTAAAATAACCCAGTGATGCAAAATCAAACTGTACAAACTTAAAGATGTCCAAACTTGCCACTCGACATATCCCTCGTTTCATCTCTTTCGTACAATGCAACTTAAAAGTCGTATATCAGAAACATTGGGATAACAAGCCTGCTATGTCAACACCATTGTTTTTTCTCATAGTTTCGATTATGTTATCGTTTTGGTAGCCAAATTACTGTCAATACCCGCTCATGGGAATGGTAAACAACAGAAAAAAATCCTTCTCTGCCCTCTGGCGATAAATGAATCAGAAAAGCAACAATCGTGATATCATGTCTCGAGTTCACGACACCAATGTTTGATTTCCACACTACGTGACCTTCGCAAAAAGAATAGCATGTCCACCTATGGCAACATGCATGTGGGAACTATTGCTAGTGGAATTGGAAACCATCAGCACAAGCGAACCTATGGAGCTACTTTGCATCGATTATCTCAAGTTGGAAAGGAGCAAAGGCGGTTATGAAAACATACTGGTCATAACCGACCATTTCACCAAATATGCTCAGGCGTTCCCTACTCGCGATCAAAAGGCCGACACGGTTGCCAAGATACTCTGGGAGAAGATAATTCAGCACTATGGATTTCCGGTGAGAATACACGCGGACCAGGGTCGTAATTTCGAAAGTCAGCTCATCCGGGAACTCTGTAAGATCTCTGGCATCAAAAAAAGTCGAACAACCCCCTACCATCCTCAAGGGAATGGCCTTACAGAACGCTTCAACCACACTCTGCTGAACATGCTCGGTACGCTCGAAGAAAACCAGAAGAAAGACTGGAAACAATACGTAGGAACAATGACACACGCCTATAATTCCACACGACACGACTCTACCGGTTATGCTCCATTTTATCTCATGTTCGGCAGACATCCAAACCTACCAGTTGACTTGATGTTCGGACTCAAGTCCACGGAGAGAGAAACACCAAATTACGATGAGTATGTCGAACAGCTGAGGGACAGACTTCAAGCCTCGTACAAAAGGGCTAGCGACTTCGTCAAGCAGGCAAAGGCGAAACAGAAACGCCTTTATGACAGAGGTTCCTGTATCGCCCCCCTACGTACAGGTGACAGAGTCCTTGTCCAAAATAAACATCTGGTCGGAACTAGCAAGTTAGCCGACAGGTGGGAGTCACAACCCTACGTAGTAATATCTAAGCATCAAGACCTTCCGGTGTATACCCTCCGTTCTCTTAATAATGGAAGAGAGAGAACCGTACACAGAAATCTGCTGACTCCATGTATGTTTCTGCCCATGGAAGAGGCCAGCTTGATAAGAGACGTGCCCCCGACGAACACTCAAACAAAAACAGAGCCCGACACGGAACAGGCAGATGACCAACCTCAAAAGATAGGCATGGAAGAAAGTGAAACCAGCGAGGAAGAGGTGGACATAGCATTTCTCCCAGTAGAAACAGAATCACCTTCACCTTCACCTTCACCTTCACCACCTGTGCTTACTCCAATGATTGATCTTGGTACGAGAAACAGTGATGATACTTCTCCTTCAATCTTACCACCATCACTAACTCCTGAGGTACTGAGCACGCAGGCTAACGAGACCCCAGATGAGTTAAACATCTCTGACAGCACAGCTTGTCTCACACCACCAAGCCCTAGACCTACCAGAACCAGAAGACCTGTCAATAGGTTGACATACGACTTCCTCGGTCAAAACAAACAGCAGCGAGCACAGTACCAATCACATCAAGAGAGAGTCAACGCCGGAAGACGACTGTTTGAAAAGTGGAAGGAACCAAAGATGGCCGAGACAAGAAGAAAAGCTTGTCTAAGACTCCTTCTGCGAGAAAACAGTCCAATTTAACCATGGCTCTATCCCAAATATAATTGTATATATTAAATTTAATTTGCTTTTAATAATGATGTAAGATTATCTTGCGAACATTGGTGACAGAGATCTTGAAAAGAAGAAAATTATGATCTCTTTATTTTCATGTATATTATGCATTATGCTATTTCAAGGTTGATCTTCGTAATCAAAGGTGGATTATGTTAATTTCCTTTATATAGAAAGTAATGTTACCATGTATATATCTTCTGCATCAGAATAACTTAATTGTCCAAAACGACAGATTTTCAGGGAAACATTTTGATATTAATCTAAGTGATTTTGGATAACTGGTGTTCTAATTAAGTTAAAGAATACTTTTTTTGACTTCTTTGAATTTCCGGAGGACGAGGAGCCGATCGGATGTTTGATTTAGTGGTTATAATAATGACATTAGAAAGTAGAAGTCATGATTCTGTTTATCTTTATTTAATAATTTAATACTTTCTTACATTATCATTGTATAAATAGTGTACTGTTAAACAAAATGTCGAGGACGACATTTTCTCTCGAGGGGGAATAATGTGACGGTTGCGATGCGAACCCCCCTCTATTTATTTTTACATTACGTAATCGTTATCTGTTATTTAAATTGGCGAGCGCCCTCTTGGTTTTGTAAACCAGTTCGCGCGCTTTCCACATTTCGTCATTCTGTTTTCGGTCGAAGACCAAGTAACACGTTGTCTTCGTTCCTCAACAGGTAATGATCTTTTTACATTTTACCTCAATCTTTCTCATAATAATAACTTATATTAATTCAAAGTTAACAGGTACTATCCTTGAGTAGATTTAGATTGCTCTTAGGTCATTTTACTTGATTTTGGAAGCATATTCGACTATTTCAGGATATTGATTGATTTGTGATTTTTCATGTATTCAAGAATTCATTTAATTATCTTATCGTAAGAGTGATAGATATTTCGATATTGTAGAAGGAATTCAGCAGTTCATTTCTTCATTATTATATAAGATTGGATTAATTATCTTGTATTTATTGGGTTTTCACAGTAAAATTCAATATGGCGGACGCTGCCCGAATTTAGGCGCAAACCGCGGGATCTTGAGTAAATATTGATGAATCCTTTTTGGTATTTAGTATCTAGATTATTTCATAAGTATTTTGTACAGTCATTCTTTTGTATTTTGTATATTTGATTCTGTTTTCGGTCGAAGACCAAGTAACACGTTGTCTTCGTTCCTCAACAGAAATAAACCAGCACAAACTGAGAATCAGCCGTTCAGCCCGTATTATTTAGAAGGGTCACATACATTAAGAGTAGAAAGTTGCACAAAATATCTTCCTCAGAAAAGTTCTTTTCAGTACCCCTTAAATTTGCAAGGTTAGGGCGAGCGAACAGTTAGAAACTTTGAAAACGGATTGCGCGCTCAGAAGTGAGAATAAATAAAACAAAAAGCAAGCCATGTAAAAAATCAACCCCGCCATCTCTCTTCGTAAAAGCCAATGGGAATGGCCAAGTCCTTGGCGGCGCTTGTTTAACATCATAAAATCTAGAGAGCTATAGCTGATGTAATACGCCGAGACCACCACACTCCTGCCATGTTTTTACTTGGACTTTTTTCGAGTGTGGATAAAATGCCGGTACCCGCGACATAATAAAGCCAAGTAGAGCGAAGATAAGGTGTTTTTTTATAGTTGTCCTCATACTTTCCATCATTATTTTCTTCCCATCCCTGACCTCGCCTAAAGCTACAAAATACTACTTCATGTAAGCGTACACTGAAATGTGAACTACTTCAGCCCAACATTCTGTAGTACTCAGTTCATTATCCCAAAGCAATGGCCAGGACGTTAGGGATAAAGTCATCCGCACATGAAAACGGCAGTAAACCCAAGCGATTTAGTTTTTATTTAGTAGAATAATTTCGAACAACTTTTTCAAAACAGAAAGTGACTTTTGTTTTATCAGAATTATTTAAATACAAATTGTTACAGAAACGACAATGAATAAAGTACATGTACCTTTGGGGGTGGGGTGGGGTGGGGTGGGGGTGAAGGTGGGGGTTAAGGGGTTGGATGAACACCCAAGAAAGGTTTTTAGGATAAATCCATAATAGCGACTGACAAACTCAATCAACGAGATGCAACGAGTGACATTCGAACCAGGAACACCAGAAGTGAAACGTCGAGGAGAATGCCACTAGTGAAACCCACTCGAATTGTACACACGCAGGATAAACCAACCGCTTATTCATAGATCTACATGTATAGACTTTTCTGAACAAACTCTTTGCAAATTGCAATAAAGGAATAAAAACACAAATTTATTCCTCCATGATATTACCGACTCAAACCTAAAAACTTACCGTCTATACCCCTCGTCAGCGTCAGAAGCGTAGCGCATACCGCGACCCAGCAGATATTCCCCTGTCGAAATGACGTCATGACGAGGTGTCACACAATCTCGTATCCGCAGTTCAAGATTAACCTCCCTACTTTTTGAGAAAAAGTGGAGTTTTGAGCTCTCAGCGAAGAGAGTTACACCACCGGTGAAGAGAGAGGCTTGGCCTGTGATGGTCTACACGACACACTGCTTAGTTTCCTTATGCAAAGCAGTCGCTCTATCTGCGCTGCGTCGGTCGACCAGCGGAAACAGTGTCTCGATTTCCTTATTGTTCCACGTGACTACACAGGAAGGTCGTGCACAATTGTAAAGCTGTGGGAAAAAAACAATAGTTGGACAATGCAGGCGTTAAGTCTTTGCAAAATATAAAAGAAAAACTGAGGTTATAATGATACTAATAGACGCAGCAGATATCGCCAGACGTTCAATCTTCACAAGGGTTGGGAACGACACCAATTGAACAGGTGTAATCGGTTTTGATCTGATATGATCTGTCGGTTAATTACGATGGAGGGCCTACTGCACACCGGTATAAAGTGCAGGGTCCATAGTGTTATTGGAACTTTCGGGGAAACTCCACCTCCACGTCACCATTTTGTTTATTGAACGACTGTTCCAAAAATTGCAAAATGGGAAAACCGTGGCCACTCCCAAATCCCTGACCTGACTTTGAGGATAAATCAGACCAGCCTGCTCTGCTCAGTTCCAATTTCAATGAGACGAGTTGAAGGAACCCGTCACTTTTACGCCATACCAGCCAAATTTAAATGAGTGTACTGCGACGACGCCTCTTTTGGGTGAAAATCCTGGTAGACTGAGGAAAATTCAACCTTCAATTTTGTCCCCCCCCCCAAAAAAAAATATATATAAATAAAATGCAGCTTAATGGTTTTCTCAAGCAGTGATGCATCCTTAGCATATGTAAACTAAGTTATAATTTATAGGATTGGGGAGATAAAGTCACCCGTTCTTTGAGGAAGACACGAACTACACCGAAATAATTAAAAGCACTCGACGTCTCTCAACATTCTTATTTCGAATATCGACATCTTTAATTTTTGAATACTACATCAAGGATGATTGGTCTATCGGATCTTTTGAGAAACTTACAACTAATTATTTCTTTTCAAATTAACATGGCAGTCTGTCATAATTTGTGTACATTCATAAAAATAATATCAAATAGCATAGACTGTTCAACCTAGATTCTCTTGAAAGGTGAAACCATTGCCACTCTTTTTTTAGATGTCCTTTATACCAAGAACAAGTAAGGAATTATTGTCACCAAAAAGATCGGGAAATGAGTGTTAAATCACAGTTTCGCAGATGTACGATAAGATCTCGATGTTTAGAAGTTCATTTTTGATCTCCAATGTAACACATTGATAAACATTAACTTCTGAAACCATTGGTGCTGTTTTCGTGACGTTTGAACACTTCCGTTATATGATTCGATATCTTAGAGCTGCATGGTGGCGTATCAGAAGTTTTGATTTCGAGTGTTAATCCATCGATTTAATGTCTGAAAGTGAGGAAAGATACCGAAACAATTATGCATGGACAGCTACTGCCGTAATACCATTGAGTGTCATGGTCGTGGGGTTATTCAATAAAAATTATACGGACCTTTTTAGATGCAGATATCAGCTCAAAAAATGTCTCTTAGTTAGTAATAGTTTGTTAGGAACAGACGTTGACATTGTCTGTTGCTCCTACACATTTTGACCGATTTCAAGCAAACTTTGTCAAAAGTATCAGTAGCCAAGGGCCAACATGTCACATGACCCAACTGGGGTCAAAGGTCATCATTGGGTCACTGGGGTCAAAAGCCTGATTTTTTTCTCAAAATACTACTCCTTCCAGAAATTACATGGCACAATCACGTGACTCGGACATGAACACACAAAACTACAATCCCGGCCAAAATGGTTGGGACACTTCCTGAGCCTGCCACGGTCACCCACTCCCCCACTCCCCCGCTCCTCAGGTCAATGTTGTTCTCTCCAGCTGATGGAGCACACACCGCGCAGTGAGAGACAATATTTGAACGGGGGCCGGGGGGTTGGGGGCCCAGCGAGATTTGGCCAGGATTGTAGTTTGCCAGTAGCTTCCGTGATCAGATCGAGCTTGTTTGACAATACTACACATTTTACACAATACTACACATTCTAAACAATACTACACATTCCGTGAGTACGTAAACAAGTTTTCAAACGGAGCCATATTTTCCATAATACCCATTTTTTGACCGAAAAGATAATAATATGAGATGATGCAATCACAGGCGGTTTTGCACTTACAATATTAACGCCTTTTTGACGGCTGGAAAGTAGTCCACCCATCCGGCCCACGTGAGGAGCACATACAGTGCAGGATATCCCGTGACGTGAGTTCAAGGCAATGATTCAAAGCAAAGCAAATACGCAAATGTAAATTGTATAGTCTTTATTTCTTGACCGTTCGCGAATGGCTTTAAACTGTGAAAAAATGCTTTACACATCTGTTTCTGTTTCTGGTGGTGGCCGACGTTTCATTCGCTCCATTGATGCATTAGGTTGCATGTTGCTTATAATATCGGTATTAACGCAAATAACAGGTGCGGCTTTGTTTTGTTTTCGTAAACGTGGAAATATACAATCTTGGAAGGTTTCTCTTAAAAAAATAACTAATAAATCAATGAAATCAAACAAACACATTTGATTACTTTTTACAGCTTTTACTTCATCCAAATCTTAAAAAAGAGATTAAAACTACAAAGTCCCCAAATTAAACGTCGTCAAACGTTTCAATACGTGCTGTTTTTGAAACCTGTGATTTCTTACATGTATATTACATTCAACCATTCAAACTTCAGCATTGAAGTCGTGCCTAATAATCTGTGTCTTTGTTTATAAAAAAGGAAACATGTTAGATCAAGAGATGCAGTCAAATCTGCTGAAGGAAAGCAGGACACGCTGATCCTTGCTTGCTTCGAAGCTGGATTATTCCGGAAGTTAAAGGTACAGGTACCAGCCAATGTTTTTGCTGAATGCAATAACGTGGTGTTATATTAAGAAGCTTTCATGCGCTCTCGTTCGTGGTCGTTAAATTTAACCACGCAGGTATAGATACATGTACCGCAATCGTGCATTGCTGACCAGCCATGTCTGAAATAATGACTGTACAAGGGAAGAACAAATATACATTGCCGAGAGAAAGAAAGACTTTGATTATCAAATGTGATTGCATCTACAAATTGAGGGTCCAGCCGTCCAACAGCTGTGTGCGAGCCAAATGAACTGGTGAATTGGTAGGCCAAAAAATTTACCAAATTCACTTAAGTGGCTGGACTAATTCTCACAAACAAATTACACAACTTTAGTCCTTTACCGTACACTCAATGAATGAGTGAACTCTTGGGGGTTATCGTACCGAGTGGTAGGTTGTCCGCGATTGATAACGAACATATCACTTCCGCTTCCTCTATATACCGTCTGGACTGGGGGAATCTTTGAAGACAAATCGGCAGAGTTGAAGGCTCTTAATAATATGGTTTAGCTAGATACAGATACACAAGGGCACGTCATCACATCAACTTCCTGAGACTCTACGGAAATGCAATTTAGTAAAACATTCACATAGGGACAGGCTATAAAAAGATAAACCAAAGTAAGGGGCGTAGCAGTTCGTGGCAATCTGATGGTGTACAACATTGATCGTTTGTTCGTGTACTGCACTATCTGAACTTGCCAGGAATTGGGAAAACTGTGGTAATTACACAACCATACCATTTTTCGTAGCGATTAATTTGAATAAACACATTACTGTTATGGGATTTATTCATCTGTAACAACTGATGGGGAAAAATTGTACCAGTCAGAATAGCCGCTGGATCCATTTATTCAGCGATTTAAGATTTGAAGTTATTGATACCTCAGGTTCAGAAGGATAATGTTGCGACTCCATGCCGGAAATTCTACCTCACACTATCACAGGTTATTTTGCATTGCTATCATTTGTTACCATTGCACGTGCATTCCAACAGCATTGTATCAATGGATTATATGACCTCTGACCTCGCCACGCCCCTTTTTACAAATATATCGTTGTAAGACATAATACATTTGTTTTGAAATCAAATAGAGTGTCAGTTCATGAGAACGGCTATAGTGGACGTTATAAATGTAGGATATCGTTTTTAGACTATTTGAGACGGTGAGTAGTCAGCATGCAGGATGCGTCAGCACTGATAGTCTTCATTCAAGTCCATGGTGAAGCCCTAACCATTGCCTCTCGTAAGGCCAACATAAATCGACAATAAACTACAGTTAATCGACAAATGAATCGATCAGATGTATTATTACATCATGCAAGGCAGTAATACAACAATAACTGGCCAAGGATGCAGTGAATGCACAAACTAAAGCACATTGAGTAATGTTGTAACATGGGAATGTTCCTGGGAAACATTCAAGCGTTGATCTACAGCCTTGAATGAAAACTAGCGGTGCTCAGGGAATTCGCACCTGTGGAGATTCTTTTCCTTAAAGTGTTGTTGCTTTTGAAAGTTGCTGTGCATAGAATCGCGTAACCTTGGCCTTACGAGGAGCCGGAGGCCAAATCAGTGTTGCTGTCACAATATTGCGACTAATCAGCCCCCGTGGCGGCTTTGATAAACGCTCAGTTTGGATTGGAACTTTTCAAAGAACTCACTCGCTCGCTCACGCGGAAAGTGAGTCGGTCATTTCTATTCACTGTCCTACATACCAACCTTCTCAAACCATTTACCCGAAAGTAGCATTTGCAAAGTGAAAATATCCGCTAGTTGTAACTGAAAGTGCTAAATAGTCGTAACGTGATATCCGGTTTTGCCATAATACTCAGAAAAAAATGACTTCCTCAAGGACTCCTTTTAATAGAAAATGTAAACCTACTCAAATGTGCAACAAACACTACAGAGAGAGGATCAAGTCACAAGAGGCGTAAGCTAAAAGCTACGGCCCTCAATCAGTTTGCATTGTCTGATACGCATTTGTAAATATTATTATAATTCCATTCGACTGGAATTAAGTCGCAATATTATTGCACATTCGCTCACTATTACCGATGATGGCGCCCTTGAACATTATGTTTAAGTTTCTATCAGAATTACGTCACACACTATTTGCGTAAAAGATAAAACCTCTTAACGCTGATCCACTTTCATTATAGTAAAGTCTTCTTTGACGCTTGCACGGTATTTTGATGGCAAATACACAATCAGAAGAGAAATCACACACAGCAAAGTTTGACAAATACAAACAAAATGGCGGAGGTAGTCTGCTTTCGCAATATTAGTGTTGTGCTTGCTTCGACCTTCATTCCCTAATTGGTGACTTATTTAAAGCTTATTAACACGATTGCTAATAAAGATATTGTGTACTACAGTTGTTGACATTTGTTGAAACAGGTATTCTGTGTCAGTTTCTACTTTGTTCCAAACAGTTTGAACACACAATAAATTGTTGGTTTTTTTTGTCAAAACAGCTTTTAGGTTCATTGCGTTTAAATGGTGATATTTTTTAAACGGATTGAGCAATTTCAGTATGGCTTTTCATCAATTCCAGTTTAAGCTATTAGCTTTTCAGTCATTATCATGTTTGGTGCTACAATGTACATATTTTTTTTAAATATGAAATATACTTTTGGGGATTGGGTTCCGCTTTATAAAAACCCTGTATAAAAACGGCTCCATGTGTTCATGGTCCATCCAAGGCTATACATTGTCATACACTTGATGAAGAATCGCACATGACACTATTTAGCAATATTGTCCGTTAGCAATATTTTGTACGGTAAACCAATAAACTCGATTTAAATGTGTTCATCAAAGCATCTCAGTAAGCATTCCTTTTACTCACAGTTGCGTAAGAAATGAAAACATCCTTTGACAAGATCCTTAATTAAACCTGTCACGGTCCATGAAACGAGTTTTTCTTAGGAACACATTTTGTGCAAATTTCTACTATTCTTAAATGTATAAAACTGTTTGATATACCTTTTGGGTTTATTTTACTGCAAGTGCACTTCTTTAAACATTTCAAATTATCCATGCTTTTCCAAAAAAACGGAGGGCGCTGTTGCTGTGATGTCATTTGAGGAAGACACTGATCAGTATAGGGTTTTTCTATTCAAATTGTGAACCCAAAAAGTTGCTCATTAAAAACATCTGTGAGAAAAGTTTGCTCATTGTCTTACTGTCATGACTATTGACACAACAACGAATCACTAAAGAAAAGAAAATATACGACAGCAAAATCTCCAACATTCTGGCAACTTTTGGTACTGAAATAGCTGTAACATTGAGGTTTCTGCCTGAAATGACATCGCACTTTTGCTCATAAATATGGAAATTCGCATTATCGTGAGAACAAAAAAGGCACCAAAACACCTTTCAAAATGACAAAACAAAAATTAAAACTAAGCTTAGGTTATTCGGCAGAAAGGTGCATTTTCAATGACTGCATTTACAAATTACATTGTATGGACCCGCAAAGCATTATAGGAAATATGTCGAGGAAGTGTTAAGGATTTCCTTGTTTTTTTTTTTTCTTGCTGTCTATGCACAGATACCAAATCACCATGGAAACACTTAACATACGAATACTGCACGTAAAGTCAGAACTGGTCACGTAAGCGGAGATCCGGTAGCCATGGTTCAGTGGAACAAAATTCTCGGTGACACGACTGACATAGGCTAGACTGGGACCTTGATGGCCAGCTACACTCCTAGGTGCAGAATGGGCAATGCAGTATACATTTATGATTACGTGCTATTTGTGACGTCTCGCGACCATTATGCCTTAATAATTCAACGCCCTACATGTGATGTAACAAGAGATAAACATGCCCTTTGCTTACCTTGTACTAGTTGAGCTTGCAGTGCAACAGTTCAGTTCAACCACGGAAGCGGTAGGAGAGACTCTAGCTAGACCGCATTGCTAAGTCACTTGACAAGTCGTCCATTGTCAAGTCATTATAAAACAAAACACGAGACTCTTAACAGTCACCAACCGTACCAAGATGTCTGCGATTGCATGTACTTGTACCCTTGTTGGCTACTAACAGTAAAGTATTATGTGATCTCACCCCAACGCCCACATGCATCTCCCAGCACAAAAGGTGGGAATATAATGCGAGTGCGTTTGTTTACTGGTGTAGCACAGGTTGCTGGTTGCACTCTCCCCTTGCTTATACCACAGGGGACTCGTGTATACACACTCGCCAATCGTTTGGCATACCAGAGACTTGCACGCATGTGTGGAGTTCAATAGATGGATTATGAATGACCCGTGCAGAGTAAAAAGGAGCGGATTTGTTTTTGTCTGACTTTACACATCGGGTTCGGTGGTACCTGTCCTTGCTCTATGGTGGTACGGTAGCATGGGGAGGCCATAGCTGTACTGGATGGGAGACAGGAGCGATAACTTTCCCTTACACGACGGGGGTTGCACCGTACGCACGCTCGCTTGGACACGAACAACTTTTGCTCTGCTTAAAGTTATTTTCTACCCTGGACTTTATTTCATTTTTACTGCAATTCGGAAAGTTGAAAATTTTTAAAAGCTGTAAACTACTTTTATACTTTTAGGTGTAACTCAAGGGACGGACGCGTGGCCGGACTTTCCGATCATTGTAGAATGACAGTCACGTGACTGTTGTCAGCAACTTGAAGGGGGAACAATTGACCCAAACAATTAAAATCACTGTCTCCCCCCCCCCCAAAAAAAAGGCGTGGTGTAAAAAAAACATATGATATCATGAGTGAATTTTTAAATTGAAAAAAATCCTTAGGTGTGTCCAATTCATTTGACAGATCGTGAATGCAACGAATACGAAATATCCATTATCCTACCCACTTATTACATTTAGAACTCACACGGAACACCTGTTCCGTGTGAGTAACATCCATGGCCGTTTTCGATGTGCGTTGTGCGTATCCGCGATGCGTACTCTGTTGCCGTGTGTAGGCCTACGTTATTTCTCTGCACACTTGACAGACATAATAAGCTCAAAATAATAGAGAGCACGTAGCAGTTTTGCGAGTAGAAAAATCGAATCTCAATCAAATTTGGATTAGCGGCAAAGTATATTACTTTTTACGAACAAACTTGACAAAATTTTAACCTCTCAATAAAATACAAATTGGGTATGAATATTCAATGTTTTATCAACGGAGGATTACAAAATTAAAATCGAGACAGGACTTAGTTTATTTTAAAGGGAAAATACAACATTTGCAAACATCAAAAAATAAAACTACCAAAGCATTTTGAAATACCTTGATGGACTGTTAGTGAATTACAGTGTAAAGCATCCTGTAAAATCATGGCACCTGGTATACTGTCATTTTCAAGAAAAGTGCTATTTTTGTATCAATTTCCAACGCTGATCGGCCGATCAGCGTTGGAAAAAACTGGCTTTTTTTCAAATACTGGCCCCAATTGACCATCGCACTTGTTTGCAATCGATTACACACCTATGAACGGGTACAAGCCAGCTAGACTGGTTCCCTGACCTTACAATTCCCCAATGTATGTAAACTGCTCTGTTTCTTCTTATGTGGAGTCAGGGAACCAGACTACAGGAAAATGATCGTTTTTCTTGGTTTTTATAGCATTTTCGAACCCAAAACCTCAAAAAAGTCAGTGTAACTATATTTGCTATATATTTCCAACCCCCCAATTCCATCCATTTCTGAAAATTACAGCAAAAGCAAATGATGTATATTCCCTTTAATAAGATTGACATATAAACTGCTTAAAGTCAACCATAAACAGTTATATTTTTACCCATCGGTTTTTTTTTCAGTTTCACACACAAAACAACATTTTGCGTATAGTATGCGTAAGGCCTATCAGTTTCAATCGCTACATGAAGCGTATAAAATTTGAACTGACAACGCACTACGGATAGCGCATATTCCGTTGCTTTTTGAAGAACTGGTTTTTACGTATCACGCCTTAGTGTCGTTTACGTCACTTTTGGCGTAAACGTGAAGCACAAGAGTAAATTTCGTGAAGAAGAAATTTGATTGTTACATTACGAAGTCGTGAAGAAGATAAAGGGCAAAAACTAGGAAAACAACAATGTGGTGATCTAACACTGCTCGGTTTCATTTCATTCTCAAAGGAACAGGAAAGTGAAAGAAACATAATTTCAAAATTATAAACAAACTATTGAAATGAGTCCTCACATGAACGGAAGGCCTATTTGGTTTTGTTTTGAACAGTGATTTATTAGTAAATAGTATTCAAATAAAGGCGCACCCACCGGAAACGAGGGTGTTGTTATAGTATAATAAACAAAATATGTTCTTTTTCCATATTCCCTGTATTTGTTTTTTTTCTTTTACAACCACAAATATGACCTTTGTGAGACACTTAAGCGTCATAAGTTATACGTTTGGGAGACGTGGAATTAGGGAGACATTTCAATCTCCTTAATGCCTCAGCTCCTATTTAGATGTAATAGTTTATTGTCGCAAATAGGCTAGATCGATTGCTCGTGGTCCAATTAATAACATTTCTAAAATTCGTGGGGTTATAGGATAAGGTAAATTAAATTGAGGTTATAGGGTAATTAAAGTTGAAAAAAACTGTGCACAAATCTATAGGAATGTCTAGTGACCCATTATCGGTAATTATTATTTTGATGTATATTTTTAAAATATATTTTTATCTAATGTTTAAAGGGAATATACAACATTTGCAAACATCGAAAAATAAAATTACCAAGTTTTTACGAAATACCTTAATGGGATGTTGGTAAATGACAGTCTAAAGCATCCTGTAAAATTATGGCACCTGGTATACTGTCATTTTCAAGAAAAGTGGTATTTTTGTATCAATTTCCAACGCTGATCGGCCGATCAGCGTTGGAAACAACTGGCTTTTTTTCAAATACTGGCCCCAATTGACCATTGCACTTGTTTGCAATCGATTACAAATCTATGAACGGGTACGAGCCAGCTAGACTGGTTCCCTGACCTTACAATTCCCCAATGTATGTAAACTGCTCTGTTTCTTCTTATATGGAGTCAGGGAACCAGACTACAGGAAAATGATCGTTTTTCTTGGTTTTTATAGCATTTTCGAACCCAAAACCTCCAAAAAGTCAGTGTAACTATATTTGCTTTATATTTCCAACCCCCAATTCCATCCATTTCTGAAAATTACAGCAAAAGCAAATGATGTATATTCCCTTTAACGTGAGGGCTCCTTTGGGAAAGCAGTTTGTCTTAACTGAAATGGACTACCTACGTTAAAGATTACAATAAATAAATGATCAAATCAAATCAAATCCGAACTCTTCTAAACAAGTGACATCATTTCCAAATCATACCGGGAGTAAGTGATAAGTGAACATTAATGTGGCTGAGCAGATTGATTGCTTATTGTCATGTCCGCGTATAGACTGAGACAAGGATGATGCAGGGGACCAGCGACAATCGTTGCTTGCCTCTAAATTGGTTCCCTACGGCTAAACCGCAGGCAGCATTGCAGGTTTTTATCCTGGTTTTGTCAATGCTACCTTTTTTGTCGGATTAGGAAATTATCTGAAGTCACATGACACATTTTAAAACTCATAGCAGGCAGCAGTACATGGCATCGTGATTTGCTGAATGTGTGCGCGTCGCTAGTGAGGTTGAATCATGACCCGAGGTCAACCGTCAACATGGCGCTCACTCTAGAACCAGGCGTGGTACGCGTACGTCATCGTGCCTGATGAATGTTGGCCCTCTGGGTGCTAGCTTGGGATGTGCTGATGGATGTTTCAACTTAACTTGATTTCAGGAGTCGATTTTTTCCCTTTAATGATGGATAACAGCAATGATAGAAAACCCACATTGTAACTCAAATTCAATTCAAAAGTACCTTGACCTAGTTTGAGTGTGTGATAAAATAATGTACCGTATTTTCTATAGATTGGTGGAAAATTTCCGTGATACTCTATTTTAAAATACGTAGCATTTTGCTTAATAGATCCGACACATGCATGGTATATGCCCTATTTCTACGTTATAAAGTTCAAAGTGTGGTTGATCATGATTTCGAAAGTTACTTCGAGGTAGGTTGTGTTAACAAACTAAAACAACACCGGTAGTAGGGTAGGAAGCGGTTTGCTTTTGGTATGAGTAGGTATTAAACAAGTGTTTGTGTCCAGAAGTCAAGAAGACAATGGTGCCTACTTACTATAATAATGTATGCACGCATGCGCATAGCACAACTTGGGAGGTTTTTAGCTAAGTGCTCATATTCGCAAAGGTTAGCAATTTGCGTCTGCACTTTTTGTCAGCAGTTTTGCAAAATCGCAAGACTTCATAATAGTTAAACTTTCTAAAGATATTTTGTGCATTTTCCCAATTCGCTGAAAGTACGAAAATAGATTCCATTGAAGTCAACACTGCACTAACAATAAATGACAACACATATTATTGTGTGACTCTATGGAACGGGATTTCCTATTAAAACCGGGAGTCACACAGAAACCTGTCACGCATGCCTGAGCTCGGGGACCTGAACTCTTAGGGAACCTGGCAAAAGGTATTGTTCGAAGGAACTGCAACAGGTAAAGTCAACAACATGTGACTGTCTGTTGTAATAATAAACAGAAAAGTCATCTTTAAAAAATAGCATGAGACATTTGAACACTGAAACACTATAGCTTTACTATATTATTTGTTTTTATACTTTCATCGGATTGACAAGTCAAACTTACTTTTTCCCATTTGACACGTAGCCACAATAAAGTGCATGTATCTATATCGGTAAATCTACAAAATCCCGAACTTTCTCGGTAGGTTATTATCAAATAAAATTGTGTTCTCTCTCGTTTTATTTAACAGAATTAAAAAGGAAAACAAAATTGGTTCATTCGTGAATTGTAACGAGAATTGTACGCGCGACCTACATATTCATATTTAAATCTCAAGTGCATGCAATTTGAAGTGGAATATCTCAGACAAATAAGATACTTATGTAAAAAAAAAAAAAAAAAACACCCGCACACTTTTCAGTTTGTATTTCATTCCATTTGAAACTAGGCTTGAAACTTTGATCCCATTAGTAAATTTATGGTCATCGCAAGATCAATGTTAGATTGGAGACTACCAATTATGCTAATTTGAAATAATACTGGGTTTTTTTTTACAGACTACTCAAAATGAAACTCTGTTTTTCTATGAATTAAAATCATGTGAGACCATTTG